TGAGTCATGATAGAAAAATGGTTAGGAAACAGGTAAGCCGATAAGAGATTTTATGTGGCTATTCCTGCTCCAATAGAGCTGATCAATGACCAGACCATAAGCAAGATCCAGAAGAGGATTGGGAGAACATCTTGTGGTCAGATGAAACGAAAAATAGAAATTTTTGGTAAAAACCTAACTCGTCATGTTTGGAGGAAGAAGAATGCAGAGTTGCATCCCAAGAACACCATACCTACTGTGAAGTATGAGGGAGGAAACATCATGCTTTGGGGCTGTTTTCTGCCAAGGTGACAGGACGACTGATCCGTGTTGAGGGAAGAATGAACGGGGCCATGTATCATGAGATTTAAGCCAAAAGCTCCTTCCCTCAGTGAGAGCCTTGAAGATGATCCTAAACTACTGCCTGGGCAACAAAGGAGTGGCTCCGTAAAAAGCATTTAATGGTCCTGGAATGGCCTAGCCATTCTGCAGACATCAACCCCATAGAAAATTGTAGAGGGCGTTGAAAGTCGGTGTCGGCCAGCGACAGCCCGAAACATCACTGCTCTAGAGGTGACCTGCATGGAGGAATGGGCCAAAATACCAGCTGCAGTGTGTGCAAACCTGGTAAAGACTTACAAGTAACGTTTGACCTCTGTCATTGCCAACAAAGGTTATATTAAAAAGTATTGAGTTTAGTTATTGACCAAATACTTATTTTCCTCCATAATTTCCAAATAAATTATTTAAAAATCCTACAATCTGATTTCCTGGAATTTTTTTCCTCATTTTGTCTCTCATAGTTGAAGTGTACCTATGATGAAATATACAGACCTCTTTCATTATTCTAAGTAGGAGAACTTGCACAATCAGTGGCTGACTGAATACTTTTGGCCCCATTGTATTTTAGATGGTTTCCTTGGGGACAGCCAACTCTGTTGAAATTATTGAGAATGTTACCTTGCACCCAGATTGAAGTGACAATGAGTGATGACCTTGAGCCTGAAACACATCTGCTCAGAGCGTTTTTCATTGATTCCTGGCCAAAATTCTTTATATTGGAAACATTTCAATGTTTTTCTCCCTCGTGTTTTAGCAAGAGAATCTGAGTATTGGTGAGAGCAAAGATGAGCAGTACGATGAGCTGAGGAGAGGCGTCTGATATTGAAAGATCTACATTGTGAATTTGAATCAGATATTAATATTTTTCTGATTTTTGATCCCATAATTATTCCTTTTGAAATAAAAGCTCTTTACAGTTCTGGTAACACAATGAGAGTTTGATCCTTAAGAAACGTGAGCCCAACATGTCTGATGACAAAGACTCCACTTTAAGCGGGTGGATGCCTTTAAAGCACATTGGAATACATTAGGCAGCCTCCTCTGTGCATGACCTGCTGGATGTAGTGAAAACAAGCAGTCCTGACAGTTACTCCAACATTCAGAGGGTTCTTATCTCATCCCTTACTCTGCCTTTAAGCAGTGTTGCATGTGAAAGAGAATTTTCACATCTGAATATCATCAACAAGTACAGATCCTGTCTATTTGACTCTGGCCTTTCATCTCCAATGCAGATCCTTTTGTCTAAGTTCATAAATGCCTTTGACCTCTAAATCCATCTGATGACTTGTGGATGCAAACAGCCAAACCAGGGAAATAGTAGTCCCGCTACATCCATATCTTCTGCTGTTTCTGGGATAGAGGAAGACATTTTGAAGATAGCGAGGATGATGATGTCGACATTCTGTTCGATAGCCAGAAGCTTCAGTGCTTTCAGATAGTAACTCCTGGTGCTTAGAAAGCAGATATTTGCACATTTAGTTTTCAGAGCTTGAAATGCAGTCATGTTGTAAGAAAATGACAAGCTTTATTAAATATGCTGTCCTTTCTTTTATTTTTAGTTGAAATTTAAATCCATTTCACATTATCTCTCTATCCATCTTTTTTGTTGCATTTGCGAGATTGTTAAGGAAAAATATGTTTAAAAATGTAAGGACTGACTGCTGCTGCCATTTTTTTTTTAAGTTGAACAAAGCAAATTGAAATATTGTAAACGACATTAAATTAAAATAAATTACAATCACCATTAATTCACACAACTTTTCTCTTAGAATTTTTTATTAATTTAAGTTCAAATGTTAAATAAACTCTTTAACAGAATTTATGATAGGCCTCCATAATAATTTTAGTTTTTAAGGTCATCCCTAAAAATTGGTCATTTGTTTAGTTTATTTCTACCATGCATCCTTGCAATTAGACTGTTCCCATAAATTCTTCCTTATTACATTAATATTTGCTTAAGATTACACATTACTTACAAACAGATTATCTGTTTTTGCTTTTCTCCCTAATATAGAAATGTTTCATTAAACATCTAGTCGCTGCTCATGTGGCAGATATATCTAAAATTACTTTAATTACTTATAAATATAATAAAAGAATTCATCTGTATAAATGAGTAATAAGCAATAATGTACTTTTTTGTTAGAAGAACTGAAGAAAGGCCATCTGAAGAATTGAAGGTATAGATTTAAATTGAATATGGTGTGAGTCACTTACCATGTATATGTTTTTTTTTTTCTTGTTTACTTCCATGTACATCCATGTGAAAATCTTCGAGTTTTGGCTTAGCCCCACCCTGTTCATAAAATAAAATGCAAACTCATGCCTCATTCCTCCTCTACCTGCTTTATGTTTATTACTGGCTCAAAGGCTTCAGTAATTGACAAACCTGCAACATAAATATGTACATTATTTATTGCATCTCAAGTGCAAATGTACACATCGGTCCTCTCGAGTGTGGAGAGATACAATATGTGCATTTATAACATACTGTTGTACAAGGGACAAAGACTGAGGTTCCTCTGAGGATCCTTGGGCTCCTGGCTTTCAGTGAATGCTCCAAAATAAAAGTTACAAATTTCAAACAAAGCGTACCTAATGTTGAATTCAGTAACAAAGTATTAGTTTTAGGCCAAAGTTAAATTGTTGTGTGTAACATATAGTAGAGAATTTTCGAGAATTTGTGAAAAGACCTGCCCCTCCACTTAAAAAAAAAAAAATGCACATGCACAACTCTGTACCCACTCCCAAGAGCAAACGTCTGTTGAAACATGTGCGAGAGCGTGCACAAGCCCATTTCTCCTCGTGCACGCTCTGTTTAAAAGTCGCTGTTTGCATCGTTCATACAAGCTTCCTTTCCAAAAAACGTTTGCGATCTTTCCACTTTGTCAGACTCTCCACCGATAAGTGAAAATGGGGATCAGTACGCAGGACGGCCTTAGGTAAACATTTACCAGAATGATTGACAATTAGAGGACCACTTATTTTGATGATCCACCCAGAAAAAGAACATCCTCCACTATACCTTTAAGTTTCATGTAGTAGTGCGGTCTTGTAAAGCCATCTGCTAAATTTAGTGTCATCCAGCCATTTGGGGTTATGTTCATATTTAGTATTGCATCTTCTAGAGAGATGCTCTGACAGTATTGCATCTTCTAGAGAGATGCTCTGACAATGTGCTAGCAACAATGCTAGATGGCTGTGCCTCATCTAGGCTAATTTGAATAAGCTCAACTCAGTCACAGTGTAATTTGCAATAAGTTCAGTAAGTGAACTTTGTGTCACTTCCATGTCTTAAAAAGAAGAAAGATCCAAACCTTTGTGTGACATGTCCCGTTATTTGAGGAAGTTAGTATTAATTGGTAGAGAAAAGGCAGTAGCTGTTGGGGTTTGAATAATAAAACAAACAAAAAAAACATGTTTTGAACAAAATGTGTGGCAATTGCTATTTCAATCAGGCTTGAAATACATTGGGCATAACCTCACAAGTTCTTACTCCAATTAGTTAAGTTTTTTTCAGACACAATCATACATTCATACAGAACCAAGTCACATTGTGTCTACACCTACATTATTGTTACTTAAAGACTGAGGCTTAGGCTGAAGCAAAAGCTTATGAATGCCTTCTTCATACAAAATTAGGCTATACTTCACTTAACAACAATAAATGGTTCAGGAACATTACAAGAAAATATACCTCACTTACAAAGATTATTTTGAAATATAGGTTTCAATTTTTTCTTCCTAACTGCATTTTAAAGTTTTCAGTTACTTATTTCTTGACTAGTCATGTTCCTCCAAAAGATGATGCTGTTTTGTTATGTATTTATTTTTGTCAAATATGCACATATGAGGTCATGGAAGGGGAATGGAGGTAGAGAGGTGTCATCTTTTTTTTTTTGGTCTACATGCAGTTTTTGCTAGATTAACCTATTGGTGAATTTAGATTAGGTTGATAAGGTTAGGGATTGGTACTAGTAAAATTTATTATAGAGCTTTCACCTTAGTTTTGAACGGAATAAAGATTTAACTTGTAGAGATTTTTTTTTTTTGGGGGGGGGGGGGGTTGGGGGGGGCGGCAGGGGTTGGTTTCTTTTTAATGCCAGCTACTGATCTGAAGGGGTTGTGCAATTATTTTACCTACTTCCCCGTATGACATCAGTTTGTAAATAACTAATCCTGAGACCTTCTGTGAAAAAGGAGCTGAGAATGCCGTTTGTTCACTGATATGCTCTTAGAAATCTATTTGTTATCATGAAACAACTGTACTCACTCAGACTTGATGTACTAATCAGGTCACTTTTAAAGGGATTTATTAATACTTGAATTTTTTTAGGGGTATCACTGTAAAGTAGGCTGAACAGAAATACACCCCACACTCTTCAACAGTTGTGAAACTTTTTCCCACATAGTTGTCAGTTACTGTCTTTATCTACCACAATCACTTCAAATAAACACAAACGGATTTGTAATCAAGATGACAAAATAAGTCCTAATTTCTTCTTATTTACACTTGTGTATACAAAATGACAAAAATAAATCTGTCTAAGGTGTATGTAGCAATATATATAAGTTGTGTCGCCGTTACTGCTTTTTACACTTTATGGCACAGTCATGGCGTTTCCTCAGTGAGAGATGTGTCCTTGAGGAAAATCTAACCTTTCCCTTTCTCTTCGCAGTGTAAAGATTTCTTCAGAGCCGGTCGAGGGATTTATGAGGACTTGCGTCGCAGACTGCCTTTCTACCCTTCTGACTTCACAGACGGTAAGCTGGACCTGGACTTGTAGAGAAAGTGAATCATTTTTGTTGTTATGCCCCAGCGGGGTGTTGCTGGCAGCTCCTCATTTATCTTTCACTCTCTGCCACACGTACGGTCAGAGTAAAAAGGAAGTATGACATATTTTTAACACTTGGGTTTTACATATCTATGTGTCAAACCTTATTTCTTTTTTTTTTTTAATAAGAATCAAAATCGATTCACTTTTTTAGGTACATATGTATGCTATATATGGTTTTGTGTCATAAAAGGCATATCTCCCAGCCCCTATATGCGTCCTTATGTTCAACAGTAATTACCCAGGTCATCAACCACAAGCATTTCCCTACACATTGCTAGTGCGGTCGCTAAAGGCTGCATCTTTTATTGAGTCGTCAACTCAGACTCTTTATCTGCTGTATGGGAAAACGGTTCCTGTCCAGCTTATTCACACATGCTGAACATATTAGCCACAAAAAGCAAGACAGCCCTTTATCTTTTCGTAGTCTCTTAATGCATTTAATTATTCCACTGTAACAAAGTCAAGATATATCTGACATGTGATTTTCATCAAATATTCATCATCTTATGAAGGTCACAGGAATCATTGATCATATTAGAGTCCAATTAAAATGCTCTAATCCAACACAAGTTATTCATCTTTTAGATAACTGTTCTTAAAAAGTGATGGATTACTAACAACTAAAACAAATTGCTCCTGTTTTCAAAGGGGAATTTAGTTGTGTGAGCCACAGTAGAGCAGTTTAACCCACACATAGGAGGTTTCTGAGTGCAGAGAAAACTAAATAATGAATTCTTGTAATGTTTTTGTCGTTTTTAAATTAAAGGGCCGAGCCTCCTCCGCTTCATTATGAGATGCATATGACTCATGTGTTTGTGTTTCTCTCCCTTCAGGTATAGTTGGAAGTAATAAAACCCTGCTGAAGTACATGACCACAGCCATCTTCCTCTACATTGCCATCCTCCTCCCTGCTATCGCTTTCGGCTCCCTCAATGATGAGAGTACCCGTGGCGAAATCAGTATGAGCACACAGTCAGGATTCACATACCCATGACCTCAAAGATAGACTGAGAAAATGAAGTTCCTTTTTTTGTTAAACTGTTTTTTCTCCTATAACCATGGAATCTGTGACTTTACTAATATGATTTATATAGGTTTTTTTGTGTGTGTTTGTTCTATTATTCTGTTCATAGTATCTGTGATTCTGAAAGCAACATTCCAATTCTGAAACCATCTTTCACCACATGGTTTCTATTTAGCTACTAACAGTGACATGTTTATTACAGCAGCAGAAACAAAAGCTAAAAAGGTCAAAGAGTATCATAACCTGGTAATAATCCATAGCAATGCACGGGTGCATTAAGCATGTGCACACCACATATAATATAGTGCACTGGTCAATAAAAAATAATGACCAGATGTCAAAAGTATTTCTTTTTTTTTATTCAAAAATTAGATTTTTGCTTCTTAATGCAAATGTTTTATTAGTTTGCAGATTTAAAGCTGCTTTACACACATTTTACATATAAAGCCTGCATTACTCATTCTTTTAAAATGGGATTGTGTTGTTTTTCTTTTTGTTTTGTTTTTTTCAAACAGTTGTTTATCATTGTGGGAAGAACATGCAGCAAGTATTTCGAGTTATTTTGTGGGTAAAAATAAAAGATAATTGCCTAATAACATTCCCTGTGTAGAAAGTGAATTACAAGGTTCCTTCTGCTTCTGCTCAACTGTGCAAAAGAACCTTACAGGCTTTCATGCATATTAATCAGGACCTTTCCTTGTGGTGTTGTGTGCATGTCTCTTCTCTGCCCAGATGTTCGGAAGACTATCATTGGCCAGAGCATCGGTGGAGTCATCTACTCATTATTTGCTGGCTCCCCTTTAGTTATCCCTCTCACCACTGCTCCCCTTGCCATCTTTATCAGTGGTAAGTTTTCCTTCTTTCCATTAGCTTGCCTCAACCACAAAGCACTTATCTCTCACAGTTTTAGACAGCGGCAAGTCAGAAAACTATGCATCCAGCCTTAAGGGATTGTGTTAAAACTTCTCTCATGCTGATCTTATTCCTTTTCTAACAAAAACTCATCACTGTTCTAATGGGAAAACACGTTCATACCCAAAACCATGTTCATATACTGTTAATGAGTTTCCCATGTGTAGTTGAGACAAAAATAGATGGGTAAAATAAGATTTAAACATGTTTTTCTTATTCTATGTTAAGCCAGTGGTTTATTACATTATATTCCCATCAGATGTAAAAGCCAGGTTATCCACACATACTGTGCAATCAAACTGAAATTGCTCCATAAAATTAAGTCGTGAGAAAACTCAGAATTCCAGATCATTTTCAGTTAAATACTAGGCAGGCGGTTAGAGCAGTTTCATCTTGTTTTTTCTGAAGTGAATTAAGGGTTTTCTTGTCTCTGTCTTTGGGACTATTGTTGTACCTAAAAATCCAAACCCTTTTCATCTTGAGTCATTTGAAGTCGACCAGTCAGTTATAAGACAGCCCACACCATGTAATCACCACCTGTTAACTTCACCTTTGGCATAATATTTTAATGATGATGTGCAGGGGGGTAATCTAATGTCACTCCTCAGATGTGAATGTTATTCACCCCACTGAAACTTATTCTCTCTTTATATTACTGTTTTTTCCAAATCTTCTACAGCAAACTAAATGTATACATGGCTATTTGAAGATGTTGGGCTAAAAATGTTCTAATTGTCATATTTACTTCAAAATTACTATTTGGGATACATAAAAATTCTTAAAGGTATAGTGGAGGATGTTCTTTTTCCAGGTGGATCATCAAAATAAGTGGTCCTTCTAATTGTCAATCATGCTGGTGAAATGTTTAAGTAAGGCCGTCCATGTGCTCATCCCCATTTTTACTTACCAGTGGTGAGTCTGGCATAGTGGAAAAATTGCAAATGTTCAAAGTAAGCTCGTATGAGCGACGCAAACAGCAGCTTTTAAACAGAGCGTGCCCAAGGAGAAATGGGATTGTTCATGCTCTTGAGCGTGTTTAATAGGCATCCCTCTCGGGAGAGGATACAGGGTTGTGCATGTGCATGTTTTTTTTTTTTTTTTTTTTTTTTTAGTTGGAGAGGGCTGGTCTTTTCAAAAATGCACAAAAATCCTCCACCATACCTTGAATTACTTTGTGATACTGGCCAGTACTGTACTGGCCTTACTGGACTGAAACCTACAGAGTAAATACAGGAAGGATGCGTGTTTCACTAGTGTTTTATTTTTCTTACTGTGTTTGACTGGTGTAAATTTAGACAATGCTACACAGCATCATTGCCTCCAAGTTTTTATGAGCATCAGATATCTGTTGAAACAAAAAAATGTGGTTAGCTTCTGGTCTACTTACTATATTAGCTAGAGCTAAAAGCATTTGCAGATGCTAACTTGAAATCAAATCGGAAGATAAAGAACAACACTTTAAATTGACAGAGAAGTATCTCTCAGTTGGTGTAACACATCGTTCTTAATATATCTGCGGAAATCTTTTGATGGTGATGCAAACAGCCTCAGTTAGAAACGGAGTTCTTCGTGGGCTCTGGGTTAGCACATCCTTGCAGCAAACGCACAAACACCAGCTTATTTGGCCAACTCTCTCCTCTACCTCGGTTTGGTTCTTCTCATCTTCATTACCTTGTGGTTTTCATTAATTTCATCACACTCATACCTGTTTTTACGAAGACCTTGAATATGTCATTTACCAAGATTGCATTGCAGCTTAAACAACATAGCAAAGGTTGTGTACCGTATTTTCACGACCATAAGGCGCACCGTACTAAAAGGCGCACTCTCAGTTATGTGTGCCATTTCTGTATTTAACACACACATAAGGCGCACCGGACTATAGGGCGCGTTTTTTTATATACAGGTACATGTCCTCTACTACCTTTAAATACCTCTACTGCGTATTTAAAAATACAGCGGGGGCAAAACTGAGTATGACTGTGTTTTATTCATGTATTTATTACAAAGTATTAATCAAACCTGGGAGCTGGCCGTGAGACAGACACATCGCAGATGACAGAGCTGTGATCACTCCTAAATTAACTTAAAATCCTGAAACCTGCCAACGGAATATGTTCGCTTTTATTACCGGTATCCTGGTGCCTGCAGTTTAAATTATTTAGATGAAAAACACCTGCCAGCCACCGCGTGAACCCGGAGGCTGCCCAGCCTACAGGCTGCTGTTGAAGGGATTTCTACTGTCGGTGCACCGCTGGTATGTGGGGGTCTGAGCGCCTCCGACAGAAATAGATAATCTGGATGAACTGACTGCAATTATTAAGTTTTCAGGTGGACTTTCTCACTTAAAAACATATTAAAACTACTTTATTCCCCCTGATCACAGCAAATATAGCTGCAAGATTTAGATTATTTAGATGAAAAAACACCTGCCAGCCACCGCGGTGAAGAGGAGGAGACCCGGCCCAGAGGCTGCTGTTGAATTAAGTTTTCAGGTAGAAAAATAGAGCGGGAGCAAAACTGAGTATGTTTGTGCTTTATTCATGTATTTATGACAAAGTATTAATCAAACCCATCAAAGTCATCATCCTCTGTTTCTGAATTAAACAGCTGCGCTAAATCAGACATGCCAATTTCCCCTTCTTCACTGTCAGAGTCACTTTCCGTGCCGGGCGGCTCCACAGAAATAATGCCGGCTTTTGCGAAAGCTTGAACAACAGAGCCAGCAGACACGTTAGTCCAAGCATCTACAATCCATCCGCAAACTGTGGCGTAACTTGCCCGGCGCTGTCTTCCACTTATCCTGAAACTGTGGTCTCCGTCGGTCATCCATCGCTCCCACGCCGCTCGCAGCCTTACTTTGAATGGCCGCTTCACACCGATGTCGAGCGGTTGAAGTTCCTTTGTCAGACCCCCCGGGATAACGGCGAGCACAGCGTTTATTTTTTTTCACCATGTTTTTCACATCAGCTGTGAGATGGGCACGCATGGAGTCACATATTAAAAGCGATGGTGATGCGTGGAAAAAACCACCTGTTCTCCTCACATACACCTGCCTCAGCCACGCTTTCATCATCTCCTCATCCATCCAGCCTTTTTCATTTGCGTTAATATCATATGTCATCAGAGCGCTGTGTCTGTCTCGCTGTCAGCTCCCAGATCAGCTTCTCTGATTGGTTGATGTGGCACGTCCAGCAGCAAAACTTCAATTTTTCCATCTCGAGCAGCAGCGCGGTTGGCGGTGCGTCAGATGCTTAAACGCTCCCGACGCGCTGCGCCTGCTGCTCAAAACGCGCTGCGGGACCTTTTGCTGCACCTATACGCGCGTCAACCATTGACTTTGCATGTAAACTCGCTGCTTCTGCTGCACCTGCTGGGTCCGGTTCACACCGATGTCGAGCGGTTGAACAGCGAGCACAGCGTTAATTTGTTTCCCCATGTTTTTCACATCAGCTGTGAGATGGGCACGCATGGAGTTACATATTAACAGCGATGGTGATGAGTGGAAAAAAACCACCTGGTCTCCTTACATTCAGCCACTCTTTCATCATCTCCTCAATGAGGTGGTCTCAAAAGTCGCAGTTACAACACACATAGGGCGCACCGCACCAAAGGGCGCACCGCACATTTTGAGGGGAAAAAAAGACGTTTAAGTGCGCCTTATAGTGGTGAAAATACTGTAATTTAAAGAAAAATCAAAATTCATCAAAACTATTCAGCTTAGAGTATTTTTACTGTATTTACATTGAAAATATATAATGTAATTATATATTTATATAAATGTAATTAACACAAATGTGACAAAAATGTTATCTAAATTTTACTTAATATTCCTGCAAACATAATAAATTTCCCACAACTGTTATAGCCATTACCTACTACAAACATAATAAGTGATATTAGTAGGGCCAAATATAATAACTATTACGTTTGCATAGGTTTATTACTTCTGTGGGAAAGTTGTGTTTATTTGATTGTTGTTGTATACTGATACTACTGTTGAATCTGTTTCATTGGCGCAAAGAACTTCAGATTGCACTGCGCTATGAACAGAGCCGTGTAAATGTGGGATAACAGGGCTGTGACATACCAGTGAGTTTTATTGCTCTGGAAGCCTAAACTGAAAAAAGAAAAATAAGGCCATCAAATTATTCCTGCTGGATTTTTTATTTATGCATATTCAGCGCTCTTTGATGCACCAAACAGGACATTCACAGAACTTTTTTAAAGGACACTGACATTTTTCTTTTTTTTACCATAGGCTATACATCAAAATGCAACTCTTAACCTTATAAATGTTTTTATTTTAAATCCGATTTTTTAAACTGAGATAGAAGAGTAGCTCGTACCAGAAGAGCTGATCTTGTTTATTAAATAACCACTGCTTACGCAGCAGGCCGAGATTCTAGAAGAGCCCAAAACTATATAAAATTAAAATTCATTTAATCTCTAATTCAGGTTTTTCAAAATCTATTCAGTTATGTATGGCAATATAAAATATAAAAGGAACTTTTCTCCTTTTTTCTCTAGGCATATCAAGTAATTTTGGGGGACACTTTATTTTCTTATTGTGGTTTTTAAATTGAAGAAGGAATACATGAACACAGACAACGCGACTCAAAGCGGTAGGCCTAGAGAAAATGTTATATTATGAAATGTTGGATTTAATTTTTTCACAGCATTGTTTTGTGCGCTGAGAAGGAAGGGGGGGAGGCATCACTAGGCAACATCAATCAAATAACACATAGAAAACAACAGTTATTTGCTACATTATTACATTTGTAGAAGTTATAAACTTTACCACAGCTTTTGTGGGAAATAGCTTATAACATTTGTAGTGGGCAACAGCTATTACATTTGTGGGAAATGCATAACGATTGTGGGATTATTACATAAAAGATGCATATTTGATAAAATTTTTGGGCATTGCATCCCTTCAAACAACCTTCAGCTTACATTACATAGCAAATGTTCTCTAGGCTGTTGCTGACATGTTTCCTCTTATTTATTAGTTTCTAATCTCTGTTAAACTTTTTTTTCGAGTGTTGATTACTTAGAACTTATTCGCATGATTATTTGATTTGCCGAGTGTCATTTGAGTTATCTATTTTTTGTTTTGGCCTAATTTTCTTTATGCAAATCACTTGGGATTTTTTGTTGAAATATGGTTTGTCTTAATACAAATATAGGAAACATATTTAATGAGGATTTTAAAAATAATCTATATGGAAAAGTAATCTGAGAAAGAGCAAACGGACTAGAACATTAATATTTTTTATGCTGGTGTTATGTAACTCCTGGTTTCAGGAGCCTGCGGGTCTGCAGATTTCCTAACTGCATTAACAAGTACAGCTTTTATTCAACTCAGACAAATGCAGCATATAAACCGTAGGATGGTTTTTGCCCAACAGAATTGTTTTGTTGGTAGGAGTGTAAATGAACTTGAATGGTGGAAAGTCCAAAAGAGAACAGAAATGTAGAAAAGCAGTGACTTTGATGCCAAGATGCAGTTTTAATACCAAAGCTGTTTGCTGGGTTTGTGGTGAGATGATCTTTGAAGTAAATGGGTTGGAACTGCGCAGGGAACATTCTCTTGGGGATAATTGTTGTAGATTTCCAGCAGCTTTTTGAAGAGAACAAAGGCTTGTTTGTAAAGTTGTAACTCAAGATAACAACAAAATTATTATGGTTTTTAACAAACTAATTACAGTTCCTTTTTTCTTTTTTTTTTCCTTTTAAGGTAGATTAAAATGCTTGTTTCCCTTTAACTCTTTGGCATAAGATTCTAAAATCAATAAAAAGGCTTCCAATAGACTCTAGAGTCTAGAAAAAGCTTCTGTGATCGTTGTCATAAAGATGTAATACCAGTTAAGTGTAGATGCACCTTTTTCAGTTAATGGCCTCTACTTGTTTTTATGACATTTTACATTTGAGATAAATATTGAAGACTTAAAAATATGAGCCTAATTAACAAGCAATGAACAAATCCCTATGTAATTATGCAGTAAGTACAGAGTAGATTAAAGTCTGTTATTACTTTATTGTTACATCTAGTTACCGAGTACAGTGGAATCCGCTTATAGTGGTCACGGATATAGTAATCAACCACTTATATAGATCAAAATGCTTGGGACAGAATCACTTCTATACAAATGCTGTTTAAATAATTTTTTTATAGCAATAAAGAAATCCACTTATACTTTTCCTTTTTGGAAATTTTATGAATGTAAACGTGTGCAAAAATAATTTTTAAGTTACGTGTACATCTCAAAGGTACAAGAGCGCGTTGTCCCTTCCAGAGCTGAAATGAGGAATGCAGTTTGCATTTTAAAGACCGGTCTCCTTCATGTTGGGTTCAAAACCTTTGACCTTTAACATCGTTTTGAAAAAGAAGTGAACTCGGTGTTGGCCAACACTCTGATCCAGGGAACCATGGATAAATATGTGAAGTTATTTCTTAATGAGGCGCAGCAGATCCGCAACACAAAACAGAGGTTGGCTAGCTTTAATTTTCTGTAGCCTATGCAGTTATCTTCTATGTTGTTGTTCTATGAAACTGATTGTTTCAAACTTTATTTTCAGACATGTCAAAAAAATGCACTAGCGGCACAGCAGAGCCGACGCACAGAATTAGTTACATAGGCTACCAGAGCTATGTCTTTGCACCGCGCAGTAAACTGTAATTAAACTTGCAAGGCAAAATAATAACTGTAAATTTTCTCATTGAAAAACCATACAAATGGTATTTAGATGATATTATGCATAAAAAAGAAGTAAACGGTAAATTCTGTGTTGGTAATCAACCGCTTAGAGTGCTCAAATCTGCTCTGGACCAACATTAGCGGATTCTACTGTATTTCCCTACTAAGTATTAGCAAGTTACGGTGTATTAACCTGTTAATAAACCATCATTAAAGTACTACAGTATGTTAGTACCAAGTAAAACATTATAAAATACCAATAAGTGGAAGCTGTTTGGTAAAAGGAAGTAAACTGTTTTTTTCTTAGAACATAACCCAATCTTTAAGGAATTCAAAGGATGAAGTCCTAAGCCTTAGAGATCAAGGTTAAAAATAAAGTATTAACAACCATGTTACAATGATGTTAAAAATGATCAATATCATTTAGTGTCTTTTACGTAAATATCTCTATGCGCAACCACAAAAATAAGTATTAAAGATGAAATTACCAAAAAATATAAATTCTAAAAGCTGACTTTGTCTGCTCCAACTGTTTATCCTCCTCTGACAGAGAAGAAACCTTGGTAAGATTTGCTGCTAGTTTACATCATGAACAGCTGGATTTACCCCCATCCACTCCTCATAATATCCCTTTGACCCAAAATATTGCAAAACAAAGTTTCTTTTTCTTTCAAACAAGCAAAAATCTGCACTAATAATCACTTTAAGGTTTGACAAGGACCTTTTTGGGTTTTAAGGATTTAACTTTACATATCTTCCGCCGAAAAATGTGCTGAGTTTGTCCTGCATCCTTTGCCATTGGGGTAACAGTGGCGCAGGGTGCAGGAGCTCACCTGCTGGTTCAAGTATGTTTCCATTTCAATGCTTTGGGTTGGTCTGTTACACAAATATGAAGTACATTAAAGTCCATGATTGTAAAATTAAAGCAATTTAAAAAAGGTTTGACAAGAATAATTACTTATTTTTTGCCTTCTCGACCACAGTGATCCGAGGAATCTGTGATGACTACAACTTGGATTTCCCAGCCTTCTACGCCTGCATTGGTTTGTGGAACTGCCTCTTCCTTATCCTGGGAGGAATCTTTAATGTCAGTCTGCTCATGAAGCTATTTAAAAGGTACCACGTAATCAACCTTCCTTTGTATTAATCTCAATTTACTGTAACCATTTTCATAATATCCAATTTAATTAATCTCTCCTCTCAGCTCTCTTGGTTTTCACTTGTGAAATAAGTTTTTAATTGTAGCTTCCCAACTGTATCTCACAAGTATGGCATAGAGAACTATTTAGTCATCCTCAAAACCAAAAACATGGAGGATATTCTCTACTATTTTGTTCTTTGTTTCACTGTATTAATTTTAAGCCAAGCCATAAAAAATTTAGCTTTCAGTAATTTAAAGATGTATTGAAATTTCTAGGTGGTTGTGCTATAAAAGTAGAATGAGAATAGCTTAGTAAGTATAGATTATACAATATTCAAAGAGAAAGAAAATCTATATTGAAAAAAAGGCTTTCCTTTCAAGTTTGTTTCTGTTTATTTTTTCTAATGTTTTATTGATGACAACAAAAACAGAATATTAAATATTGCTGGCTATGTTGCTTCTTTGCCATTACATACTTATATAGTTTTGGTTCTGTTTGTATTTTTCTCTGTTACACAAATTAAAGTGTAACCTTACAATTTAAAGTTATTTTCTTTTTTCTGGTGTGAAAAAATGTGATTATTCAACAAAAAAAAAAAAATTTAGCAACAGGAGGTTAATTATTATTAATTGATCCTTGTTATTACATCATCGTACGTATAACTGTATAGTCAACATGAGTCAGAACCACAGCAGATGGATTTGAAGCACAATACAGCTGGCTGGGGAAAGTTCAGGGCTCCAGGTGTCTTTGCTTATTTTTTGCCAGAGAATAAACTTGACAGTGATGCGACTATCCTGATGCCTGCTAGTTAAATTGGGGTTAAATTTCCCTTGTCAGTGCTTGGTAGACTTTATGCCAGGGCTCATAGTTAAGGAGGCGAAGCTCTGCTGTATCCTGGCGCATTTAAGCAACTAGTTCTTAATCGGGTAAAACCGGAAGTTCAAAGACAGGACACGAAGAGAAAACAAAAATACTAGTTATACTAATTATATCCAGTTTTTTTTTTTTATTGGACCAGAGTTAAAAATGTAAATAGATTTTCAAATTTAGATTTTGTCTTTAGTCTTTTAAAACACAGTAAAGGGTAGATAGTACTGCAATATATTATTTTAAGATTTTACCGACAAACTGGTTTGTGTTCAGGTGAAAATTAAATAAAAGATGGGATGGTAATAGGTTGCTCCAGAACCACTGTGATTAAAAAAATAATAATCCAACATCAATACTTCATTCAAATAAAATTATTTTTATGGCTTTTGGATTTTCTATTTATTTAAAGAAAGTACACTAATCTAAGTATTCTTTTTCCTTTTTTAAACAGTTTTACAATGTTTTTTGTTTATTTTTCCTTTTAGGTCAACAGAAGAAGTCATTGCTCTATTCATTTCCATAGCATTTGTAGTTGATGCTGTAAAGGGAACAGTCAAAAGTAAGTTTAAGACCAGCATTTTTTTTTTTTTTTTTTATAAATCCATCTCTATCTTTCCTAAAACACTGCAGTCTGAACTGCATTTTATGCTGATTCTACTTTCATATATTGACTGTGGTAAATAATGCTGTATACACATCTCAGCCTTTAGTTTCCATTTCAGTGAAGCTCGGATTTTAGTTTCAAGAAGAAGCATTTTTATTACCTAGTAGTCAAATGTGGACACCTGTAATAAACTATGTGCCGTATTAGCTGTCTTTTTAATATTATTTGCTTAAGCTGCGGACTAATTATGGCCATCGCTGCCTGAAGAATCGTTCCCGACTAAGAAGGGCAAGATCTCTCCAGCTAATCAATTAGTCATCTTAATTAAAACCTGTCCATTTTTTTCCCCAAGTTATATTGTTCCTCCTTGCAGCCCTCTGCTGTGGAGTCTTTGCTGATCTATTCTTTATTGGGATTTTTTTTTAAAGCAAAAAATGCTCTTTATTGTCTCCTTATTTATAGCTAGCTCACATAGTAAAGAGTGCAGATGAAATCAATGTATAAATCTTTAACTTTGCATAAATAGTGCTGATAGCAGATTTTACGGTTGTTTTTTTTCTTTTTTTCATACATTGCCTTCCAATCATATGTGTACACCATAAATGTTTTGTCACTTTTAAACTATTACTGTATGTTTTATTGTTATTTTGTATGACAGACCAACACATACTATTATACATTTATAAGGCAGGAAAAAATTATGAGTCATTAAAAATCCTTACAGAGTAAATTTTCTTACACCAGAGGCGTAGACTGGATTTCCCCTGAAAATAGATAAATAGTTATTTCACTATATGTATTTACAAATGAAAATTCAAGTCTATATATTAATTATATATTTAACTAAATGCATTTTCAAATGACATTTAATGAGATTAATAAATATTGTTATCTGCATACCCCGCCTCTCGCCCAATGACTGCTGGACATGCTTGTCCCACTCGTGACATAATATATGTTAGGTTTTGTATTTTTTCATGGGACATTCAGATGTATGTATTTCATGATACATATTGGCCTTCCATATCCCTCATGGGTCACATTACAATAATCTTTCAAACCCAAACCTGTGTGACAGGTAAAAAGTTACACAACCCGCAAAACCTACCCACTGCTTGCATAGAGGGTCCCTTATTGTTAGAAGCACTAATATTTGCAAACCAAGGCTTGATGCTGTCCTTGCATGGTATTATATCAAGTCACTAAAGTAGTTGGTTGGAAAATGTACAACACATACATGAAAAGCTGCACTGGAACATCATAATCAAAGATTAACTTAATCCACTCCTCCACAGTAGTTTGATTCACAGATACTAGCAAACTAAAGAAATAGTATTTTTTATTTTGGCAACCGAAAACGTCAGCCATTTTTTTGCCTTTCTGGTTTGAGCAAAGAGCTCAGTATGCCCTTGGTGAAGCATGGGGTTGGCAGGATAATGCTGTAGTGATCCATTTTTTAGCTGCAGGAAAGCTTGCTGTAGTTCATACAAAGGTAGATGGAGCTGAATAGTACACAATGCTAGGAACTGCTTGGAAAAAAGTATTAAAACCTGCAAAAGACTTTAAATCTGAGCAGAGGTTAATCCTCCAGGAGTACAAAAACCCTAAATATCAAAGTCTGGAAGCATGCAGTTTAAATATTTTAAAACAAATTCTATAAATGTATTGAGTGATGATGGCCGATGCAAAGTTAAGACCTAAATCCAGTCGGGAATCTGTAACAGGGCTTGAATATGACTGTTTATACACGAACCTCCACCTATAACAGCATCTGAGTTCATTTGCAAAAAAAGGACATAGACTATGGGTTTTAAGTTTCTAAGCGTAAACATACTCTATAAGTCCAGCAGCAGTTGGTCTGTCACACAAAATACTAATGAAAAGTGTGAGAAGATTTAAGAGACTCAGAACACCTTAACCTGAAACAAACGTCTGTAAAACTGGTACACAAGTTCTGTTTTCTTATTCTGAAGCTTCCCTTTGATCACTGTGAATTGTGTTTCAGTCTTTCAGAAGTACTACCTAGAAACAACTCTGGAAAACAGCAGCATAGTTTTTCCTCAGGGTGGAGACCTGCAGGGAGGAAACAGGAGTGAGGTGGTGGCCAGGTCTGCGTTGGATGTTCTGCCTGAATCTGTCATCCAGTGCACTAGAGAGAGGCCACTCCTTTGCCTTCTGCTGATGCTCGGAACATTATGGATGGGCTATACCCTCTATCAGTTCAAAAGAAGGTACATTCAGCATTAATGTGCTGGGGCACTTGAAAGATTAATCACTGGAGAACTTTAAATCACGTTTGGGTGGGGATGAATACTACCGGGTAGGGCTTTGCCTTTATAGATCGTCAAGACTGATACTGCTTACAGGAACTTTCCAGACAAAACTTGCAAAGCTCACTTTTATGTTGAAGCTTCAGTTCCAGCCTGTGATTTAATAAGCATTAATATTCTACTACTGATTGCTCTTGGTAATCAAATCAACCTCAAAGCTGGATTCAATTGTGTAAGCAAGAGGCGGAGTAAGGTACTTAAGCAGTGTCAGGATTGCAGCCATTGTCCTTGTCTTGTCCACAGTAATTGTATTCCTCCATTATTTGTCTCTTCTTGCTCACTCCACTTCCCTTTCTCTCTGTCTCTGTCTCTCAGTCCGTTCCTGCATGCCAAAGTGAGAGAAGTGCTGTCGGACTGTGCCCTGCCGATCTCAGTGCTGCTCTTCTCCTTCATTGGCTCCTACATTTTTAGCGACATCGAGCGTTAGTATCATTTTATATACATACTTGGATATTTTTGCCCAGATTGCTGAATAAAAATAGCTTTGCGTTGTCTGCGGTCTGACAGGAATTAGTCCTTACATTTCTACCTCTACTAAGTGCTTAAATCCTACTTTTTTCGATTCTTTAACATACATTATTATTTGTTAAATGATTATTTAAATGGTTTGCAAATTAGTCAGTAACTTTCTGGCTCTTAGAATAAGCATAAGCAGCCATAATTTCAAGAAGTCAGTGTTTGTATGACATTTTTCTTATGTAGAATTTTTTGACTAACACTTTAATGGTTTTATTTCAGTTTATTGCAGCTTTACAACTGTTAATTTATACACAGGTTTCTTGAGAAGTTCAATTTCATTATATTTTCACTCACATTGGCATTTGAGTTCATTATAGAATTATACATTACCTGTGCTAAATTCAATTAATATTGAGTTTTAAAAAGTGTTAAACAAAAGGAAACAAAGCATTTTCCTAACTGTTTCAAAATAATGATCATTATATGTTTGGAACATTTACCTTGCCTTAAAATTTTAAACTTAAACCTCTCCCTCTTTAAAGGTCATAGGTCAACTATAGATATATATTTAATTTAATAATGCCTTTATTGCTACAGAGTATAAATCTGTTATGAAATAATAATTATTTTCTTCCAACCCCTAAGAAAGAGTTTTTCCTGAAAGGGAAGCTTCCTCTCCACATCACTGTACCACACCACTTCTGAAGGCTGAAAAAAATAAAGAAAAAGACCAGTCGAGGCAAAAAAAAAAAAAAAAAAAGATTTTTATGACATAGCTAAAAGAAAAAAATGCTTCTTTTATCATTATTTCATCATTATTTTATCATTATTTTATCAATACAATTAGGAATAGCCCAATTTTCTAGTAATAACATTAAAGTTTGTCATCACTCCATTAATGTCCTTCCACAGGATCAGATCTGAAACCTTAAGGGTCAGATCTGTTAAAGGGTTGGTCAATTCCATAAACCTAAGAATGAGAATCCTACAGTGGTTCCCCAGGAGCCCAGTCTGTTAGTCTTCTCCACCTGAGGGCCACGCCTGCTCATAGCTTCGGTGGTACCCACATACTGTATGTCTTTTCATTCTGCTGTGCGCTTTATTGCACTGGCTTTGGAACAGCTCTAGGAGGCAGCAGGCTGGGCACGCAGCAGCTCTTACCCACCTGAATGCCCAGCCAATACAAATTTAGCTATTATTTAGTTTGGTTTTTTTCAAATCTGATGGAGGCATCAAAAATTGCCTTTAAAAAGACATTTCTGACAGATGCAGATGGTTGCTGTGAAAGTTGTTTTTTGCTGCATGTTGTGCAGCAGTAGCATATAAGGTTTTTTTAATCTTTGGTCAATGGACAATCTATTGGATACCTCTGTACTCCTATGCCAATAATTAACTTCAATCTAGACAATTATTAGCTAAAATAAAATAATTGTCCAGGCTAATATGCAGCACTTGCTGCATAATGATGCCCTTATCGGCATGGTAATGTAACATGCCTGTGTAAATTCTCATTCATCCAGGTCATTGACACCAACAGGCTTAATTTGGAAGGCAACTGGAATTTCGCTCAGTTTTTTGAAGGTGTTGAAACGTCTTCAAAAAACTGAGTGAAAGTTGGATTGCCTTCAAATGTAAACCTGTTTGTGGATGCATATGTAACTTTAGAGGCTCGTATCATAATTAAATGAGTCATGTGACCTAGAGTCCCACTTTACACAGTCTGAGCTCCCCTAAAACACGAGAGCTAACCTAACTTACTTACATCTACTTGAGTAACTTTTAAAAGAATATATATAGTTGTACTTTATGGTACTTTTTAATTTTAATCAAAAGCAAATAGTCATGTTTTATGTCTATACCAAAAAGACCAAATTAAAGTTGATTATGATCAAATAAGGCTATATACTCCAAGTGTCCGGCCTGATAGTGTTTTTATTGTCCATCTTTAGCCTAAATAAAGTTCCAGCACCGGGCGCAAAAGAGCTGACATAACAGATGTGGCGTCGTCTGCTGGTACTACTGCTGAAATATAATATATCATAAATAATGCTCTAAAGCCTCGTGGAAAATGTATTCGAGGATAGAGCTTAAAATCATGGCTAACAACATCAGCAAGGACATGTACCCTTGAGTTTATTAACTTGACAGCGACGTCAGAACGCTTCCTGAGCTAGCTTCAGTGAACTTCAACAGTCAGACTATTCTTCTTGGAATCAAACATCTTTTTGACGCATTGCAATTCTCAGTCATCCAGGTCATTCCAAAAACGTAAAAAAAAAAACAATCCGCTGGACTTTGTTTCCAAGTTTGAAGAAGTTTCGCTTCCCCTTCAGGAATCTTTTTCAATTCAAAATGTCAGAAATAGTGTTGAATTTGAGGCTTTGTAGAGTGGACCAAAAACAAAGCCTTGTTTTGGCTTACAAAACATACAAATTGAACCGGACAAACGGGTCCGCCCCTTAGGAATGGGGTTGTTTAGGTTCTTTGTCAGCCTGCAATAAATGTCTCTGTCTATGTCTCTGAAAGGGGCGTCGTTACAGGGAATTGTTGGCCTGCCTGAACAGGTGAGGTGTTCTGTTGCCCTGTAAGGGGAAAACCAACAATGCAGCAATGCAGTTGATTCCTTCCCGCTATCATCACAACCCCCCACCCCACCCCCACAATTTACACATAAATCTCACTGATTATTTGAAATTTCAGATCACGTGTTATGATTGAACCATTACTCTGTACTTGAGCAGCTATTTCCTCCAGTAGGCCTACTTTTATACTCTTACTTATTGGATGAATACTTTCTACTTTTACTTGACTAACGAAAGATTAAAGTACAGCTACTCGTAATATGTAATATTCTTGGCTAAACTACCAACCTTTGGAGCTAACTTAGCTAAAAGTTGTTGCTGGCTAAGAAAACAAATGTGACACTTTAATTTTAGGTACTTAGACGTAGGATTTAATCTAGATGGGTGATTGTGGCCTTGTCTTCTTAAGTAACCCCATAACCTCTCAGTTCGTTGGTCCAAAGAGGTCTGCTATCATACATATGATTTTCAACAATAGGGAGGGATAGATGGAAGATACAGATTTATCTTTCCTTGGGGCTAAAATCTATATAAACAACCCTATAAAATTCACCCCTCTATACCAATGCAGTTCTATTTTTTCTTTTTTTTGTGTGTGTGTGTAAACCAATCATGATTTGATGTCATTCTGTGTGACACAATGTGACAAAACAAATGAAATACAGCAACAACAGGTGTACTCTATCAACTCTAGACCATTATATCAAAACAGACTTAAAATAAACAGAACGAAAAGAAAACTGGTTTAAAATATTGCTATGAAGCCTTTGAGGTTACCGATCTAGCCACCTTTTATACAGTAACATAGCAAAGATTTTCTGTCATGAAAGGTAAATCATAAAGTTTTCATGGTTTTATGAATTCCTAATTTGTTATATCAGTATCACTTGAGGGATTTACCTATTGACGAGTCTTATGATGAGGCAGCTCAGAAGTGGTGAAAATCTTGTTCTGAGGCTCTTCTTAGAGTAGGAAATAGAAAATGAAAAGGTTTCATCCTCAATAAAACAGAAAGGCCTTATCTGTTTCGAAGAGGAGGCTAGATAGCATCTGTAACCATCTTCAAATCAGCAAAGCTGTTATAAAACAGGACAGGAAAGGAGCTCCAAAAGTAATCCAAACCTGAGGGAGGTAAAACTGGTTTATATTATAAATTAAAACCAGTTCACAGGAGGTAACCAAAAATCTCAATATAGTAATAGTAGAGATACTTCACAATAATATAATTCAAGTGACCATAAAAGGTATGGTGCAGTAAAATTACTCTTAGTAAACTTAGTAAAAAAGTTAGCAAATGTAACTACTTACCTCTTCTGTTTTATAATTGCACACTGACTGTGTTTCTTGGTGTCAGAGGGAAACAGATCTAATCCAGACCAGCTATTGGTCAAAACTACTGGTAGAGAGCTCCTGAGATCAGTTAATCAAGATCTTTAAATTGACAACACCTGGCTGCTATCTACCCCTAAATCCTATGTTAACAGCAGGGAAAAGCAGCATAAAATTTCCTCTATTTAATTCGGGGGAAAAAATGTGTCGCATGCAAAACACACATCCATTACACACATCCTAATGGTGGTAGAGGCTCTTTGCAAGGTTTTGACCTCCGTTTAGATGGAGCTTGTGATTTTGGTCAAGGATGTTACACCATGTAGTCAGTGACTCTACCTTCAACTCTGTCATCCACCCACTCTACAATTTATGGATCACTGTACTATACGTACAGTCATTTTGTCACAGTAAGAGTCTAATTCCTTCATCTCAAACAAGAATTTACATAAATCAAAATATTTTATGGAAAAAGTGAAGTGTTGCTTCTTTAAAATATAACTTATAATTTATAAGTTCTCAAACAAATAATTCATCCACCCTTTATTGCTTGTCCAACAGGGCTACAAAGGTGCTGGTCCCGATCTCCACAGTCTATGGGCAATAGGCATGTTACACCCTGGACATGATTCTGGTCTATTGCAGGGAAACCTCCAGGCATATACAACAGGGCAGTGAGGCCTATTGGTTAGAGCAGTGTGCTTGTGCTATGAGAAGGTTGCAAGTACCTGGTTCAATCCCCACAACCTGCACTCTGGGTTCCTGAGCAAGACCCTTAACCCCACACTGTTCCCCGGCACCCGGGGAGCAGTGTGGGGATATAAAAAAAGAGAGGATATAAAGTTAGGGATTGAACTTACAAATTTGATAATAGAGATTGAATGAAACAATCATGAAAATGGCCCCTATGTCCTCAAGCAGTCTAAACCTATAGCAGTACTGTATATCTATAGAGATAGAGTTTAACTATAAGCTTTATCCAAAAGAAGTAGCCTAGGAAACTAGCCCCACCCGCCAGTGGCCAAAATCATTTTTGCCTGCGAGTGGCCTCGATTAATGCCTCAGGTCCTAGAACTGGCGGGCCAATCACAACACAGAGATGTGTCTTTAATATCCGGATTCAAAGCGGGTTTTGAGGGAGTGACAACAAACCTGCCGGCGCTGGAGAAAGCACAGCAAAGAAGATTTCGAATCAGTTTTGGAAGGATTAGACTTGGGGTTTTAGTTGAAACGTTAGCAGGAAGAGGCTATACGCTCATTCATTTTTAAGAAGGACGTATTCGCCGTTTTACCGACAGGCTGTTTGTTTACACTCCCCCACCAGCTTTCCATCGCACGTCACAGTCAGTTGTGCTCATTGATCAGAGCGTTGGCAAGTAGACAAAGACATGGTTTGAAAAACAGCAAGTTGTTCTCATCAACAATCTTCCGATGTCTCATTCATCGGGGCCAGACTAAATTACACATTTAATCTCACATTTAGTCTGGTTTATCAGGCTACAAAAATGGGTTTTAAAAGTAGACAGGTTGGACTCATGGAATAAAGCTGGTACAACCTTTAAATGGATACTGTCGGATTTTTGTGTACCTTGGACATTTTAGGTGGATATTTTTCTTTTAATAAACACCTGGTCTGAGTACAACACTTTTATTGGTAAGTCAAAGTAAATTATCATTTCTCACTTAGTGATGAGAAGGGCTGTTTTGGGAAGCTTTCTATTGACCCGCTGCAGTACAGCCAAGCTGTACTAAAGGTAAAACCTGGTTTTGTCCGAAATAGACCTTTTTTGTTACAGAGCCCTCATATTTGCTGCCCTTATTATCGCTTTATGCTTTTAATAAAGGCGAAGGGCAAAACACGTTGGCCATTTTCAGTTTTTATTCTCTGTTGTTTGGCAACATTTCTACCCTCTATTGTTGCCAAGGCAGCAGCTGTTCTCTGGGGGTCAGAACAGAGACGCCTGCCAAACCTCGAATGAATTTAAATTTAAGTGCCTGGACAATTTTCTGTTCTGTTACCTCCAGAGACAATAAGTCATAGCATAATAGATCCATTATTGTCTTGTCATTTCCTAAATGTAACCAGCTACATTCAATTCAGCAGTTTTTGACAACATAGCACTAAATAAGGTACAAAGCATTAAATATGAAAACCAGTAACTAATTAATATGTTTGTAAACTTGAATTACAACATTTATTTTAAATAAACTAGATAGCATCATCAAATCATGGACCCTTTTACAGTTGCTTATGTGAAAATTCTAAAATAAGAAGAGATTAGGCTCATTTTCATAGTATAAGCTGCTGTAACTTTCTCCTTCTTAATGTTGTTTTTGTATTCTTCCTCCAGTTCCAGTCTTTAAAGATCACGATCGGCCCGTGTTCAACGTGGCGCCTTTTGAGCGGCTGTCGGCCATGAACGTAGTCAGCGCCATGGGACTCGGCTTCCTCCTGGCTCTTCTCATCTTCATCGACCAGAATATTGTGGTTTCTCTGACCAACGCTCCAGAGAACAGGTAGGGGGATATATACAATTAGGAGGTTTTAAACCTTGCTGTATTTGTGTTGTCTTCATCATATAGGACAGGGAAGGAACGCCTGGGAAGGAGTGCCTCAATATAACATAAAATATTACAAATCTTGAGAAAACTATTGTTTTTATAAAGTACATTGAAGTTAAAAAGGTTGTATTTTCGAATGCATTATTTTTCTAACCCACACAGCAGTTGGTTTTACCTACCAGTTCAATTATAGACATTCATCCTAACTAATATTAGGTTAAATCTGCATTTCTTTGCTCTTAGCAAGTTTTGAATATTTAAAATCTCTTAAAACTGTTTGAGTCCATTAATATTGGCTGGTTTCCCAGTTCTAAGCATTGGACATTCATTTCAGACATTTGAGGCTTGAAGGCTTTATTTATTTATTTTAAAACCATCTTCAATTTGTGTTGAGAATAATGGTCCTGTTTTAATATATAATTGTGTCCAGCCTACCGCAAGATAGCTATTGATTTGTGTGAAAGTTGGAAGATGATCATGTTCTCCTTCCTCCTTACTCAAGCCATGTTTTGCAGTCCACCAATGCCAATAAATCAGACATAATGCTGCTGAACCATTCAGAATACAGCGAATCAAGTCTGAAACAAGTAGATCTACAAACAGCTTCCTTTTGCAACAGATACGCAAAGTGTCAAGCAACCAATGCCAGAAAGAGCACACAGGAAATTTGCCTTGTAAGCATTCAGTTTGAATTCACCTTCAGCGTTTTTTACATTTTCTACAAGTGTTTTGAATTCCTACTTAGATGTTAGGTGTGCCGTCCAAATGACTGGTCTTTGCGAAATTTGGTATTAGTTTCATTGTGGCGGTTTTATTCTTGAATCGGGATTTGTGACTCTAAGCACAATGCTTGAAATCACAGGTGGTACAGTGATTATAAAAGTTCACAGTTCACAATTCACAACATGTCATTTCAAGGCACTTTACAGGCACTATTCAACAAGATCATACAGTCAGATCTGAAGACCCTTCTTATTTGTTAACACTTAATACATCATTGGCGCTGTTTTCATCATCACACTTTATATTACATCAACAGTGGCCTAGAAATTAATTTAATTCAATTCATTTGATTTATTTAGCACCAATTCGCAACATGTCAGCTCAAGGCACTTTACAGTTCACCAGATCAGAGAGAGAAATTAATTTAAAGTTTTCTATCTAAGTAAAACCAGTTGATTGCATCGACTAACTTGAAAGCAAACCCTCACACCGAGAATGCTTGTAGTGACAGTGGAGAGGACAAACTACCTTTTAACAGGAAGAAACCTCCAGGAGAACCAGGCTCAGTGTGACCATCTGCCGAGGCCGACTTGGGTTCATGGAGACAGAAGCAGACATACAAAAAGAAGCAGAGATAATAAAGACAACTGTCAACCATCTCCACAGACGGCACGGTCCAGGAATCACACAGCCAGCTAGGCAAGCTCCGAGCCTGCTCCCATGTCAGAGGATGAAAGCAAGCACGTACAGCTAGTCACAGTCAGAGAAACAGAAATACACTGGAAAAACAGGCCAAGCTCTAGCATCTATAAACAAAGGTGTTGATGGCAGCAGCACAGCTGATATTTCTCTCCAGGATAGTGTCAGAGCCAAACAGGAATAGACCAAATGAAGGTGCTATGAGAAAAGGCAGAGAGAGCATAGTGTTAGAGATTGAACAAACAAATTCTGCAAAATCGGAGAACAGATATAAAATGAAACAGAATGATTAAAGAAAGGGGTCCCTATATCCTCCAGCAATCTAAGCCTATAGAGCATTACTGTAGAGATAGCATTGGATAACCTAAGCCACTTTAACGATAGGCTTTATCAAAAAGGAAAGGTTTAGGCCTTTCCTTAAAAGTAGACAAGTTGATAGCCACAGCTTGACTTCCTTTAACCCTCTTCTTGTCATTGGGGCTAAGTTTTTGAATCTTTGCTTTATTATTACAATACCCCCTAAAGGCACATAGCTTGTCCATGTGGTTCCTGGATTTGTATAAAATTTTCTCTGCAGTTTGTCCTTGATCTCGTCTTATGGCGCTTATCTGGTGAAGTTAAGCCATGCCCCCCTGCTCTTACCTTGCAAGGGAAACCGCTTTACATATCTTCATAACTTTTTTTACTTTTTTTTTAACTTTTTTCATCTGATCAAATGGCAGTTTTTTACTGTATGTAGCTAGTAACAATGAAGAAATTATGTTAAGAGCAACATGCTCATCTGGTCAACACTGTTAAGTTAGGGGTTGTAGCTACAGAGAAGAATCCACAACAGTCATAATATATGATGGGCCATAGAATATGGTGTAACACCAGACATTGTATCGCATAAAAAAGGACAGGTGATTTTGATATGTAATGAAGGTAAGAGCACATAGGCCATAGGTTAAGCTCTGCAGGCTGCAGTCATACCCATCTCAGCAATTCTAGTCAGAGGATCGGGTCAAACATCCAGTCAGAAATATACAAGACCTTGCTCTGTGTGAATATTAATTCCTTTATTACTCATAAAACTTTTATTCCCTTTGTAAGACCTATCACTATCCTCTGATGCTCCCATTCTCTCTTATTTGCTGTTCAAGTGTTTAAAGACACAAAAACAGCACACAGCTTTTGATCTATAATGTTATTAACAGAACAGACATGTTTACCCTCACACAGTATAACATTTTTATACTTAAGGGTTGCCTTTTCCCCAAAGGACACAGACTTGGGCCCTGTTGGCAAGTTTCTGCTGTGATCCAACACTAACATGAGCACAAAATGTTCAAGGCTTTGGCTGCTGCCTACTTGTTTGTATGCTATGCCGCTCTAATGTCACACTCCCCTTAAATGTTAATGTTGACGTATTGATTTATGCTCTGCCTTCCACGGCAATAAGAAAGAATGTAAATAATACAGATGAATGTTCTTGCATGCTGGATGAGAGGAAAGAGAGTGCGACGTATGCTCGCTCCATTTGTGTATCAATGTGTTTAATTACGTATCGTCTTTGTCTGTGTTCACATTAATTCTTTTGTTTCCTGTTTGAGCTGCTGTTGTAGAGCCTTATATGTTGCCTCGCTCCCCAGGTTGCTCAAGGGTACGGCGTATCACTGGGACCTGATGCTCTCTGGCCTCATTAACATACTCATGTCGGTGCTGGGGTTGCCCTGGATGCACGCCGCCTTCCCCCACTCCACCCTACATGTGCGCCAGCTGGCTTTTGTGGAGCAGCGTGTGGAGGGGGGGCACCTCTATGAGACGTGAGTTATCCACCCTCTCACCACCTACAATGATCAAATGCTCTGTTAAAGTTCATCTTCAGAGCATGTGCTGACTTTGATTTTTTTAATCTCATGCTCTTTCTTGATTGCATGATTAACATGTAACTAACCATTTTCTTTGAGGAGGGATGAGCTGAGGGAGTTTTTAAAAGATGAGAGGATTAAGTTGAGCATTTTATCCACAGTCATGCAGATTATACTTTGCATATCAGGATTAATAAAGTAGTTGAGTATGATAAATATATATTTGGGGAAAGTCTTGTGTAAGGGTAGAAGAGGTAATCATTTGTTTTAGTAAGAGGATTTGATGCAATGTATATGTGAAAAATAAAAACTTAAAGTTCTTCAATCTCACTATTCTGTTTTTTGCTGGTATTCCATTAAAAAGATAATTCATTTAACCCTTTAAAGCCCGATCCAAGAACAAAACGAAACAGAAATTTACTTTTTTTTGGTTTAAAGTCCTTATTTGGCCTTTTAACAAAATATGTAAAAAGAAAAAACAGAAATACATTTTTGATATTAATAATTTATTACTATGCGATAAGACTTTGTGTAGTCTTCTGCCCTCTGTTATCAGGTATATCTGATTGTGTATAATAGGATTTTGAGTAAAGTTTTTACCATTAAATTATGCAAAAGGTGTCAGATGCAAAACATTTCAGAAACCGTATGTATCAAATATGATACATTTGGCATTACAGGGTTAATAATGGAATTAATGACCCATTTTCATTTCTTTGCTCCTACAGAGTCATTTTGTTCCATTGTTGTTATATTATTTTGCAAGAAAAAAACCATTTTATTAATGGAAACATACAAAAAAGAAAAAAATATATAAGAAATAAACATATATATTAAACATCTTACCCAATAAATGGTTTTGTAACTTTTGTAACATTGCTGTTTACTTAGATTTAGTTTTTTGTCAGTTTTTTTTTTTCACATTTTTACACACTATTTTTTTTTTCTTACAGATTTTGTTTTTTTTATTTTACTTTTTAAAGGATTTTTTTTCGTGATTTCTGTTCTTTTCAAATCATGTTTTACAGGTCACATTCTATTCACTTTTAGATATAGACTTTCCTCTTGTTTGAGGAGCAAAGATGCATTTCTATTGGTCTGCAGGGGTGTTATGCAATTTGAAAAGAATGCAATTCATCAAACTCAATTTGAAGGACAGAAACTTAAAAAAAGAAAATATAAAATCTGTATAAAAATAAAAATTTGAAAAAAGAAATTAAAATAAAATCTGAAAAACATAATTGAAAAACAATATCTGAGAAAACATCCATGTTTTTCACTAAAACATCTTTCAAAGCTTAAATTCAGGATAGTATTTTAACATTTTATTTCCAAAAGGCAGAGTTGTTATCTTTTTATTTCTATGTACAAAACATGTTACTTACTTGCAATAATAATGGATCAAAATTCACTCCATATGGATTAGGACATGATAATAGTCAACCAACAGAATGCCAAAAAAAGAAAAACATATAAAGAAATATTTAAGACAGCAGCCAATGATCCCAGGAGAGAATGTTCTGGAAATGTCACACCACAAATTACCCAGAGAAATAAGAAGAAAAAAATAAAAAGCTCCATCTCACAAACAGAAGGCCTAAGATGGCATCTTAGCTTCTAAGGTTGATAGCAGGAGAATTTGATCAGGCTCCGAACAGGTGTGTCGTGTTTGGAAGGATTCCTTTAACAAAGCCTCTTCCCTCCATACAAACAAACAATGCCAGCTTGTGGTAGGTTTGCAAAATCAATCTATTTGAACCAGAAAATATTGCTCAGAAAAAAAAAACAACTGGCATGTTTGGAGAAAACCAAACACACCACAAAAGCATGTACGCCTTAGACTACCTGGGAAGCACTCCTTTGCATACCGAAAGGAATTGCATCTGTTGGACAGCAATAGTATGACTGAAACTAGATCATTTTAAGGACAGTGATAGCAAACACAGCAGGAACCTACAGAAGATTTCTGATGAGGAAAATAACCGGGACCAGCTGATTGAAATGCCGTAGTCGGATTTTCAGAAATGAATGCCTGCAAATCCTCATTGAATTGAAGCAACGTTGCAAAGAAAAGTGAAACTAAATTTTTACACAGCAATGTGAAATGAGATTTGTAATGTCTACCAATAGAAACAAAAATTTCACCCCTTAATGAGTCTAAAGATAAGTCTATAAGATAAATATAGTTTTTCTCAATTAGTTTTTCAATTGTTTTAATTGTATTTGTTATTCAATGCAGGTGATTTAAAGAGCCTATTTTTGTTTTTGTACCTGTAGATTAATACCTCCATGAAATGGTACAATGGTAGAAATTTGAAATAAAAAGTTTGATTTGCCTCAATACCATCATTTTATCCTCTTGCTGCTTCCGTATTTGCTTGAATGTGCAAAGATCAGAACTTTAACAGTTAAATGTTTACAGCCAAAAAAAAAGGTGTCAAACCATGTTCCATGTTGAAATGCAGCAATTCTATTAACTAGAATAGTAACTATTGGTTTTACACGTGCACATGTTTTTGTTTCTCCTTAGTATTGTCCAGGTAAAGGAGACCCGCCTGACATCTCTGGCTGCCAACATCTTTATTGGCGTATCAGTTCTGCTGCTGCCCGTTCCACTGCAATGGATACCCAAACCCGTCCTGTACGGCCTCTTCCTCTACATCGCCCTCACCTCCATCGACGGAAACCAGATGTGTGACCGCATGGCTCTCCTCCTGAAAGAACAGGTTAGTAAGAGGGTGAATGAGTAATAATGTGTGTGTGTGGATTTGGGCTTGTGCCAATATTTTGACTCTGGAGCTAACCAGATCAAACAGCTGACTTCATGCATGAGTCGCATCTCACTTACTAACATCTTAATTTTCCTCTCAAGATACATGTGGGGATTTGGTTTAAGGAATTAAAAGCTATCCTTTTCAAATAAAACAATTCTAAATCTGTGTTTGGAAACTGCCCCATAAAGATGCAGGACAATTCTGCTCAAGCTGTAGAGCAGAAGATTGAAAATATTAAATTGAATATCCAGTAAATATTTACATGAAAAGAAAACCTGCAGGAATCTCCTTTTTTGTGTCTCTTTTCCCCAGTGTCCGGTTTAACCTTGCATCTGTCACAGTAAGGAGATAAAGCAAAGCTTTTAGTTCCCCTTTATATTTGACATGCTGGTGCCCCCAAATGGCAGCAGGAGGAACCTCACCCTCTATGAGAAAAGAGCTTCAGAATAAATACTGAAGCATAAAGACAAAGTGGCCTGTTATAAATACTCTGTTATGATTCTTCTTTTTAATGTACATTTTTTGTTTATAAACCACCTTTTTCAGCATCTGGATCTGCACCCATCAGAACTTTTGGCCTGTTTATCCCACTTTTGCTTTTTTTAATTTCTTCAAGAACTACAACACAATTCTCAAAAAGATGCAATCATAACACAAAGTCCTTCTGATGCAGTAGTCTTTTAATTACTCTCTGCGCTCATTTTTTTCCTACATTTTTCAAACATTGCCAAATCAAGCTGAGGTTAAAGTGTTTAAAAAAAGATAAATCAGACAAGAGGTATAATTGTCTTTATTGTCTATTATTTGGAATGACAAGGTAAAAAAACAAATTCACCCATTACATTGTTTTTTTATGCTAATAATTAAATGTTTAAAAGGATTTATGTTTATATATAGTTAAACAAGCTAAACAGAAAATCACCAGCAACTGATGAATTCTTGTAAAAAAAAATGTTAGAACTTTAAATTTACAGTTATTTTTACTTTCTTTAAGGCTGCACTTTTAAAAAGATGAAATTGTCCTGTGAGCTGTTTCCAAACGAAATGTCTTTTTGTTTTACACTTGTGTAAACAAAATGATAAGTAAAATCTGTCTAAAGTTTAAAAGTCTAAAGTAACTTTCCCTCTGCTGTGACAAAAAGAATATATTAATTAACTATGGCCTCAGTAACACCATAAACATACAAATTTGTGAAATTAAATACTTATACTAACAAAGAGAAAATAAATTAGCGGCTTTGATCTGAACCCATAGTCTCTATTCTATTCTGCTTGACCTAACTTGCACACCAGCTTGTGTGTTATTAAAGGTCTGAAGTTGGATTCCAGCAGAAGACAGATGGATGAGTTTTTGTTTCTACCTTTGTTTTGTTCTGGAGGCTGAATTCACACTCTGCCCTCATACTGGTGTTATGTGATTAAATGTTGTGACTTAATATAATTTACTAAATTAGAGAAATTTGAATGTTAAAACCAATTCAAAATACAAATCCAACAGGTAAATAAACAAAACATAATTTTGAAAATAAGATTTTACAAAATAATATTCCTAATCAGAGGTTAACCGTTTAGATAATTGATTCTTAACAACTTTGCAATTGTTTCTGAGGGAATAATTAGGGCTAGGGATACGGTGACCAGACATCCCCGATTTCTAGGGACAGTCGCCGTTTTGGACCACCTGTTCCTCATTATAAAAAATAAGAGACGGTTAAAGGAAAACTGAATGAGACAAGATCTGCATGATCTAAGAATGATGGAGGAAGAGATAACCACCTGTTTAATGTTAATTTGTTTGGTTGTTTTTACTTATAGCTCCAAATATTGTGATTAGCTTTTTTAGTTGTTAATCAGGTGAGATAAAAACAACAATAATAATAATTACTGTCATAATAATCATTTGTATGATGAGATTATGCGTTTGGAAAGGATTTTGATTGAATTATGTCCCTGTTTTAGATTAGTGTCAGATTGAGAGGAGAGGAAGATGATTAGAAGACTGATAGAAGATTGAATGAGAGCGGAAGAAAACAGCAACACTGATGGAAAGATCAGTTAAAGAGGAGAAAAATCTGCTTAGAAGAGTAAAACAGAGAGCTGGCAGAAGTCAGCTACAAGGAAAAAAAGAGAGAGAGTGAAGAAGACGTAGAAGACTGAATTACCATATGGCACTAATAAACACTATCCATAGATTTATTTTATCAATCTTAGGGAATAGGAGAGGCATTTCCCTGGATTTAACACTTCTTTTTGTTTTTGTTTAGATATTAATGAAGATCTAAAAAGGGATGAAAGCTTCACTGTCCCTGTTTCCTATTTTAATTTTCTGAGCTGGAAATGTCCCCAGATTGGATTTCAGGAATCTGGTCACTTTAGATAAGAAACCTTTAACCTTTGGTAGGACAATAGCCAATAGTTAGTAGACATGAGGGAACTCATTTATAAGGACTATTTGGTCATATTTTAGCAATCCACCGTAATTACAGTACAGTAAGGACACATATAAACATTAACATCTGGTTAGAGTTTAAAACCTTATTAAAGTAAAGTGTGCCTTTACTTCAAGAAAAAAGGCAGCTTAAAACATGTTAGCAATGGGTTAGTTACCATGCAATTGCTATTGGCTTCCTTCACTTAAGAGTAAATTATATGACATGATGAAATGGTAGAACTGTAAATATACAGCCATATGTTTATATTGTTGTTTTTATGTATTTCTTTACATTAAAAAATGAAATTATCTAGAGAGCTGTTCTTAACAAAATTTCTTTCTGTTTACACAAAATGACAAAATAAATCTGTATAAATCTGTCTAATGATTAGAAATCACCAATATCCAACTTGTTTAGCTGGAAACAAAATTGGTCCACCAATGTCCAAAATTATTATCATGGGTTATGGCACAACACAAGAGACCAGAATTACAAGATCCAGTTTGGGCAAAGTTTTATAATCTGGGGAAATGATCTCCAAATGATTAGAAGTCAGCAAGACAGTCTGGCTGAATCCAAATGCAGCAAATCGGTAAGCATTCTGAAGCCAAAGTTATCGCTGTCCTAAAAGAGCTGCCAGTAAGGAAGGAGACAGGATTAGGGAGCAGGTAGTTAGCATAGGGACTTAAAGACGTTCCTATCCTGCAAAAAGGAGCCGTTTGATTTCCCACAATCCTTTGCATGACAGGATGTATAGACACAGCACACCTCGTGGACTTAAACCAAATTACAAAATTTCTTCACATTTACTCTGTGTAACACATGCTTATATCCACACCTTCATATATTTTGGGTGTTATAATGGAAAGATTCAGCCATTTACTATATTTGTGAAACTTTTTTGTGTAATGTTTTTGAAGTTATCCTTCCAAAAGGCTGTAGTCCCAACTTGAAGGGAAGAGAAACAATTTGATGAATTCAGAATCAGGCTCTGAATGATGCGTTGTCGTGAAGATTGTTAAGCAAATGTCCTTTTACTTTTAAAAGAAAAGCTTTTTCATGAGATTTTTAGGCTACTGAAAGCTGATATAAGTTGTCATCTGAAACTTGAAGTCCAAATCTTAGAGGTGTGTAGGCTGTCCACTGCCTGTAATCATTTTTCAAAGGCCGCAAGAGACCTGAGGACAGCAAAGAAATGGAGCCACAGGGGAGATTGTATTTTAATCTGCTTTTATCCTCTCACCTCCTGCAGACATCTTACCCACCTACCCACTACATTCGCAAAGTGCCCCAGAGGAAGATCCACTACTTCACCTTCCTGCAGATGATGCAGCTGCTGGTGCTGTGCACATTTGGCATGTACCCGATACCGTACATGAAAATGATCTTCCCTCTGGTTATGATCCTCTTAATCCCCATCAGGTAAGATGTGGTAACTTTGAAAATAATTTTCTCAGTCTTGACAATTGGCTGTGCTTTTCTTCCCTTTTATATGTGAGGCCATTTAATGTTTTGGGTTTATCCTTGAATTGATCAAAATGATATTTTGTGAAGGTAAAGTGTTAGGATATGAAGAATTGCATGCCTCTCTCTAAACAGGAGGGTATTTTGTTTCTAAATTTGAAATAATAGCTTTCTGCAGCATACTTTTGTTTTTGTTTTTTAAGTTCACTTTTGTAATAAACTGATTTCCAATCATACTAAGACCAGCATCTGTCTAACTTGCTGTCTGTTTGGCTTTTATGTTGAGCCTGCGTGTTGTTTTAAAAAAAGTAAAATTAAATGTTCCCCTGCTTCAGGAGGAGGAAGATAGCTTACGTTTCTTTCCCTGTTATGTCACAGAGTTGGCTGGCTTTTTTTTCTGAGGATTAGGCATAGAGTGGCATCAGAAAACTAAAAAAAATATATGCTTGCCAAAATAATTGGAAAGTATGTTTTGCTCTTGTCAGTTTGAGCTGCTCCAAGCACTCAGGATCCAGAGGAATGGTTTAAACTCCGATCCTTGTGTGAACCTTAAGATGCACCCCTTGCCCTGAACACCTGAATAAAATGCCCAAACTGCTTCACTAGCTCAGTCAGGTATGCAGAGCTGCTCTAATAAGCTCATACTAGAGTCAGGTGTGTTGAAGCAGAGAGCGGCAGGACTGGAGTTTGAGACCACTGTTGTAGACAGAAGTGAATCGTAGCATGAAATTAATTAGTGTTAAGATTCAGTCACTGTGGCAATAAATCAGCAGCATTTAAATGAATGAGGATCATAGGTAATATGTACATAAGGCTTCAAAAAAATGACACTGCAGAATTTCTTGATTTCTGCTAACAGTGCTAACACATACTGATACTAGCAGTTGTGTTTAAACACATGCAAACTACTCTCCATGCACATTGTGAATGTTTTATGCATGCAGGTTCAATATTATATGGCACACGTTATTTCACAACCATCATTTCCTGCTCGTCTGCTCTCTCTTGGTTTTTATTTTCCTACTTGCTTTTTATTTTCCTTTTCGTGTAGACCTGTTTCTGTCTCTCATGTCACCTTTTGTCACTTTGAGAGGGGAACCAACCCCCGAGAAAGTAAACTGCCTATTATTGGCTACTTTTCAGGAGATCCCGCCTCTTTAGACAGTACCGTTGTTGTTTTAGTTAAACCCATATGGCTCATTTACGCTACACTCTGATACCGATCTGTGTTGAGTTCTCACCAAGCTTGGATCAGTTAACCGAGCTCGGTTCCTTACAACCGTTTACACACCACGCTAGCACAGTTCCTCGCCTCCTAGTGACGATCTACAGTATTACTGCTAGGATTGAAGGAGGGAATCAAGCAAATCAAAATGGCCTGTAACATTCAGGAAGTTATGTTTGGTTGTTATTGTGATATTTTGTTGTTTGGGGAGAGTCAGGCGAAGAAGGCAGCCTTTGGTAACTTTGCTTGACAGAGTGGGCTTTTGGCAAGAATGTAGTGTTGAGAAGATTTTGATTGTTGTTTACACTTCTTCTGTTTTATGGCAGTTGGCAAGCAGCTTACTGATGTGCATTACTACCAACTACTGGAAGCTGACTGTAAGGAGATGAAGCGCTCTGCTCATGCATTCTTTGTTATCAGAGATCAGAGCCACAACTGAACCGTGACGAGCCCTACTGTTCAACTAGTACTAGGTTTACCGCGGTTTGGTTGTTTCTGGCACAGTCCAGTTCCATTTACACTGAGCAGTTATCTTAGTTAGCATGCTTGGACCGTATTCAGCACGGTTTCAAGAAGATAGTGTAAATAGGGTTTTAGTTGCAGCTCTTACTGTTCCCGACTAATTACCAGGGGTGAGAATAAGCCAAAAAGCTCCGGTACTGAAAAAAAGCAGCCTTCCCATGAGAAAAGGTTCTCTTGTTGGGGTGGGGGTTAGGTTTAGGACTAAACTGTGAATGGATTAAGGTTCGGTTTAGATATGTGTTGGTTATGGTGAGGGTTAGGGTAGGGGTCTGGGTTAGGCCATAGAATTGAATGTTCTATGAATAGATATCAATGGAAAGGCCCTACAAGGGTATTGTTGCATGACGTGTGTTTACGTGTAGATATATAGGTTATATTGGTCTAAATCTGAAAAAGGGTCTATTGTCACCCTTTAGGAGTGTTGTTTAGCTTATTTGTTGTGCCTTTTCTTCTGAAGGCACATTATGGCAATACGTTAGTGTTGGAGATGTTCAGTTGCAATATTTCTGTCTGCGTACAATGCAATACTCATTCCTTATTAAATGACCCATAGGATATTAAATCATTGCTTTTCATGTGTTGATCAATTTATATTACATTGGAATGACATTATTATTAATTTCAAGCAAAGTCTACATTATTAATAATTGATTTAGCAGCTTGGTAGGTTGTATATAAAACTTTTAATTATCAGAGCTGGATTACTGACAGGGTCATCATAGTGGGAGATTTTAACATCCATACTGACATTGAAGGCAATAGCTTAAGAGCAGCCTTTAATGCTATCTTAGACACTATTGGCTTTGTTCAAAATGTGAATAGTCCCACGCATTCTCATCTTCATACTTTGGATCTTGTGCTGACATACGGCATAGAATGTGAAGAAATAACAGTATTTCCTCACAACCCTGTCCTCTCTGACCACTTTCTAATAACCTTCAGGATTACTTTAACAGAGTTCTCCTCCCCCAAAAGAAGGTTCAATTTTAGTAGATCTTTATCAGATAGTGCAGTTATACATTTTAAAGAATCTGCTTCACTTTCTCTCTCCTCTGTGTCACTGAGCAGTGCTGCAGAGTGCAAAAGCTTAGCTTTATTCCCCTTCACAGGTTGATGATTTTGTTGATGGGGTTGCTAGTTCTCTGCGTATTGCCTTAGACAACGCAGCTCCTTTGAAAATGAAAACCGTTAAAAATAGAAAGCTTGCTCCTTGGTTTAATGCAGAGCTGCGTACTTTGAAGCAAAATGCTAGGAAGCTGGAGAGAAAATATCGCTCCACAGGCCTGCGAGAGTCCTTCCTAGTCTGGAAAAATGGTTTACTGCTGTATAAGAGGACCCTTTGTAAAGCAAGAGCAGCATACTTCTCCTCATTAATAGAGGAGAATAAGAATAATCCTAGATTTCTTTTTAATACAGTTGCCAAACTCACCCAGAGCCATAGCTCTGTTGAACCGTCCATTCCACCTGCTCTTAGCAGCAATGATTTTATGGGATTCTTTATAAATAAGATTGATCTTATTAAAAATAAGATCATAAGCACTCCTCTATCCGCGATTGTACCTGAGGTAGTCATGGAATCTGAACCGGGTTTAGACTGCTTTTATCCAGTTGAACTCTCTGAATTAGCAAAATTATTGTCTTCATCTAAGCCTTCAACTTGTATGTTAGATCCAGTTCCAACCAGGTTATTTAAGGAGGTATTCCCTTTGATCTCCTCCTCCATTTTAGATGTGATTAATCTATCTCTGTTACAGGGATATGTACCTAAAGCTTTTAAGGTTGCTGTAATTAAACCTCTGCTTAAGAAACCATCTCTTGACCCAGATGACTTGGTCAATTATAGACCTATATCCAATCTTCCTTTCTTATCCAAAATTCTTGAGAAAGTAGTTGCCAAACAAGTTTGCGATCACTTCCACCATAATGAACTTTTTGAAGAGTTTCAGTCTGGCTTTAGAGCTCATCATAGCACTGAAACAGCTCTGGTGAAAGTCACTAATGATATTCTCATGGCCTCAGATAATGGACTTGTATCTGTGCTCGTCCTGTTGGATCTTAGTGCTGCATTTGATACAGTTGACCATAACATTCTTTTAGAAAGACTTGAATATTTTGTTGGAATTAAAGGAACAGCACTAGACTGGTTTAAATCTTATCTATCTGATCAAATTCAGTTTGTTCATGTTAATGATAGATCTTCAACACGCTCAAAGGTTACCTGTGGAGTACCACAGGGATCAGTGCTAGGACCAATTCTCTTTACTTTATACATGCTCCCAATTGGTAGAATTATTAGACAGCATGGGATTAATTTCCACTGTTATGCTGATGATACCCAGCTATATCTGTCTATAAATCCAGATGAAGCTAACCCATTACATAGATTACAGGCATGTCTTGAAGACATAAAAACCTGGATGACTCTTAACTTTCTGCTTCTGAATGCAGACAAAACAGAAGTTATAGTCTTTGGACCAGAGTCTCTGAAAAAGAAACTGATTAGCCAGTCACTTCATTTGGATGGGATTAAACTGATTTCAGATAATAAAGTAAAAAATCTTGGTGTTATTTTTGATCAGGACCTGTCATTTAAATCCCATATCAAAGAGGTTTCTAGAATTTCCTTCTTTCATCTGAGGAACATTGCAAAAATTAGAAATATCCTGTCCAGGGGTGATGCTGAGAAACTAGTCCATGCATTTGTTACTTCAAGGCTGGACTATTGTAATTCTTTACTATCAGGAAGTCCACAAACTGTAGTTAAAAGCCTTCAGCTGATCCAAAATGCTGCAGCCAGAGTTCTAATGAAAATTAAAAAGAGAGATCATATCTCGCCTATCCTGGCTTCTCTTCATTGGCTTCCTGTTAAATCAAGAATAGAATTTAAAATCCTCCTTCTCACATATAAAGCCTTAAATGGCCAAGCTCCATCTTATATCAGAGATCTGATTGTTCCTTATGTTCCTAACAGAGCACTTCGCTCTCAATCTGCAGGTTTACTAGTGGTTCCTAGAATTTCTAAAAGTAGAATGGGAGGCAGATCTTTTAGTTATCAGGCTCCTCTCCTGTGGAACCAACTACCAGTTTTAGTCCGTGAGGCAGACACCCTGTCTACTTTTAAGGCTAGGCTTAAAACTTTCCTTTTTGATAAAGCTTATAGTTAGGGTGGCTCAGGTTATCCTAAGCTATCTCTATAGTTATGCTGCTATAGGCTTAGACTTTTGGAGGACATAGGGACCCCCATTTCATCATTCTGCTTCATTCTCTCTCTGTTCTCCTATTCTGCAGAATCTGTTAGTTCAATCTCTAACCTTCTGCTCTCTCTGCTTTTCCTCAGAGTAGCTTTGCCTCGTCTGTTCCTGTTTGGCTGTGACGTCATCCTGGAAAGAAACATCAGCTGTGCTGCTTCTATCAACACCCTTGTTTATAGATGTTGGAGATCGGCCTGTTTTCCAGTGTGGTCCTGTTTCTCTGACCGTGACTGAGTGGATGTGCTCTCTTCGTCCTCTGGCATGGGAGCTGCCTTGGAGCTCGTCTGCCTGGCTGTGTGTTTCCTGGACGGGGCCGCCTTTTACAGCTGCTTTTTGTATCTCTGCTTCTGTCTCCTTGAACCCCAGTCGGCCTCGGCAGATGGCCGCTCACACTGAGCCTGGTTCTGCTGGAGGTTTCTTCCTGTTAAAAGGGAGTTTTTCCTCTCCACTGTCGCTACAAGCATGCTTAGTGTGGGGGATTGTATTTGAGTCAATGAGTCAATGCAATCAACTGGTTTTCCTTAGATAGAAAACTTTGTATCAATTTGACTGTATGATCTGGTTGAACTGTAAAGTGCCTTGAGATGACATGTGTTGTGAATTTGGCGCTATATAAATAAACTGAATTGAATTGAATTGAATTGATTTACGCCTTAGACCATGTTCAGGGTTTCTTCTTTTTTATTTTAGAATAAAACTTTTTCCTAACTTACATTTCTTGTTTAATTCTCTAATTTTCAAAAACTTTTCAGATATTTTAAATGCAAAACTTTGACCTTTCACAGCTTGGATGGTAGTCCTGTTTGTAATGTTTCCCTGATCTCTAGCATCAGTTTTTATGTTCATACATTTAGCAGCTTTATTTCTATATGGTATAACTTAGAACAGCACTATCTTAAAATCTGTGAAAATCTTATACTTACCAAGGATTACCAAAGAAAGAATTATAATAATATATTTTGATTCTTATAGAATAACTTACGAAATTTGCCAAAAGTATCTTAGTGAAAAAGGAAAATGCTGTTTTGGCACCTAAGTCCTTAACATTTTTCCTAGCTCTTTTTTAAAGGTATAATAATTTGAACATATATACTTTCAGTAAATCATTTTTAAAATGTAACCCACTTTTTGGTGCAGTTTAATTTACTTTAATTTTAAATCAGTTAATTATATATTATATATATTCAACTCAGTGTGATGAGCTGATAAAGCAAAGATAAAGCATGCGATTTAGATATAAATAAAGATCTAAATCAATCATTCATTAACCATTATCAGAATTCGTCAGAAATTCAAAAGACCATTTTTCCCCTTTCAGTTTTACCACGAAACTTATCAAGACCTAGAAATTGGCTAAAGAAAATTCCAAGCAAGTATAGGAATAGGAGTACTTCAATGTATTACTTTCAGTTTCAGCTTATTTTATTTAAATAGTTCAAAGCTAGTAAACATTTTCTGCCTATATAAAAGCCAAATCCTATTTATTTCCAAATACAGAGAGAATGTAGGGATTGGTTAGGGAATATGGTACAACCATCTACCTTGACAAACCCTTAATGTTCTATTATACCTGTATGACTCAGTATATTTTTATCTTTTCTGATTGTTAGTAATGTAATTTTCTTCAGTTAAAGATTCAGCTGTTTATCATTGAGTGCTTATGTTTTGCTATAATTTGCGTTTTTGTTTTAAAAATCTTGCCATATCTGGTCCATTTTTTGTGTTCATTATTTCTAGAAAGTATTGAGGTAGTTTGGTAACCATTTATTGTGTATTTTAATCTATCCTGTAGATCAGTGCAAGTATATTTTCCTCTAGTTTCTCATTGTACTCTGCCTCCCTGTTTTGCTATCCTCCACAGTCTAACCATTTCTTCACTCTCTCTGTACTCCATGTCCTGTTCGCTTTGCTTGAGATCGACCTGGTTATTATCTGCTTAAGTATTAAACATCACCTTACTCTTCCGCTGACTGCATTTTAGTCCTACAGTGTGCAGAACCTATAACACATGACACAAAATAATGTTTTCCATTTCAGTCACATCAAGCAACAAATTTCTCTTGGCTGTATGTAAATGTAACAATTAAAATGTGTTGTTCTATGTGTGTCTGTATTAATATACTGCTTATGTCTAATAATTAACACTTGAAACATTAACTATAAAAACAATAATGGTTCCTATTAAAGGAAAATATTTTTTTCAAAAGCAAATTTCTTCTTATCATAAAACCTGAAAGAAACTAATATCTCCATTGATAATATCCAAATACCATTGCTTAAACATAAATAGCAACCGTCTGGAATACATTAAACTTTCTAGAGTACTTTTACTTAAAACCAGCTTCCTTATTATTTTGTAAAATTACTCAGGATGGAGTCAAACATGTCACTCAAGTAAAAGTAACAATATTTTTTTAAGCCCAAGTGAAAATAAATATGCACCGAAAGTGGATCTATATTTTTGTTAACATTTTGCTTAAGTAACTGACAATAAGTGTAACTAGTTACTACCCACCCCTGGTGGAGCGGACTCACAAACCAAAAGTAGCTTAAATTCAATATATGATTATGTATCTATTAGAAATAATAGATACTAATAGAAATCTATTAGTGGATGTGCTGAACATTGAGATTCTGTTAGCTTCATATATGATACAGGAAAATGTTTTTAAAATATTTTTATAATTGTATTATATGACTGATGTAGGATATTTAAAAAAATGTTGTCTGTTCTGTTTTTTTTAGGAACAACGTGCTTCCTCATATCATTGAGGCCAAATACCTGGACATCATGGATGCCCAACACATGTAGCTTCAAAAGGATTCAAGCTCTGGATCATCAAAGAGTCCCTGTAAGGAGGAGAAAAATGGAAATAAAAAACAAAGAATTAAAAAAAAAATTCTTATTTTTTGATGCAAAACTATAATGAGCGCAAATATGAGAAATCCCGACTGTTTAGATTTTTGTATCCAGGAAGTACATTCTGCCAGATGAAGCACTGAAAAAACATGGGAAGTCAAGGGAGGACGACAACTGAGAGTTTTCATCAATATATCCCGGAATAGAACTAAAACGTCTCTGTGAAAAAGTCCTCCTTGAAAACAAAAGAAAACGGACTGTTCCTGTCTCGCCTCCGTTTCACCATGTCTGATTGTGCAGTGCCATAAAAGTCTTTGTCCTCGTATCACAACTCACCTTTTTATGGTAACACTTCACAATACCTTTTTTGCAGTGTGCAACGTACGTGTTGGCAGGTGCTCCAAGTATTTCCGATACTGTGTGATTTAATAATACAAAATGCTGCAAGGGTACACTATGTTGTACCAAGAAAGGGGTAATGGCACAATGTAATTATAAACCTGATCTATCTTTTGACACGTTTGCACTTATATTTTTTTTACACAGTTATGGGTGCATCTCAATGCATTAAATATGAAAAAAGTTGATTTATTTTATTAGATCTGTTAAACATATTATATATAAACTCATAACAATGTTTGTTGTTATGGCTTAAAACTAATAAAAACTTATATTTAATTTTTATTTTTAAACAATTTCACATAAACAAATTATAATGTATATTTTCAATAGAGACATATTCTAATTCAACCTCTATAATAATGGGGAGGTTTGCTGATTTAAGAGCTCAGGAAAATTGAGTATAAAAAGAGAGACCACAGATAGATATATCATTGAATTAAATTTTTAACTTTTTGATTACATTCTAATATGTTGAGATGCACCTAGATATGGGTAACTTTTACCCACTTACACTGTGTTGAGAAGTAACTAAAAAGAACTTTGAACGGGTCAGTTTAGAGCACTGCATTATGGCCACTGTAAAGTCTGCTTTTTTTTCCTTGCCATTGTGCAGCGTTCCAGCATTTAGATTTCTGCACCTTTTTAGCCGTTTGCTGTGAATGACACTTGTGCACATGTTTCGTTTCCATGTCATTCCAACAAGTGTCCATATTGTATAAGGAGGAGATTAGAGAGTTTGTATTGTGTCATTAACACAGTACTTTTCTGCCAGCTCTTTAGAAAATGTATTTTTAAAGGTGGATTACATCTTTAGATGAGCAAATAAAAACATTCCACGGGTATATATTATTTCTAATCACTTAGAATGACAGCACAAGCCAAAAACATATAGTAATGTCTTTATCTAAAAACATATATATATGTATGTATATGTGTATATATATATATATATATATATATATATACATATATATATATATATATATATATATATATATATGATGGCAATATACAAAATATTATAGGTCAATTTTAATAAAAATAGAATATTTATTTGTCGTAATGATAGTTTATCTTTTTTGGGAAATGAAAGTTTTTGTCTCTTTACCCTGATCTGAGAACAGTGTGTTTTCCGTTTCTTCTGTCCATTCCACTGCCTGTTTCATACAGCTCTGCCACAGTGTTTACATATCAAAGTCCCGTCCAGCTTCATGTTATCAGCTGACATATAGCTCAGCTTCAAAGCTTGCATAGACATAAGGTTAAAGGTCGGAAGATACAACAAAAGATCTGGACTAAGCTAACCTATCTCTTTCTTTTTTTGTTTTCAAGTACAAATAGGGTATTTTGGAACAACTTGTTTTCATTTTTTGTTTTTTAGTAGATCAGTGCTTGCAAATGTTCTCGTATATTAATGCAGGAATACAGAGAGCTATATCTTGTCTACAGTTCAAATGATAAATAAAAAAAAATATATATATATACCTAAGCACTGGTTTGCTTAAAGCATGTCTCATCTGGGTTTTTTAAATCGAAATGTTGTATTCAAGAGAAAATAGTAGCAAGTCGAACAGTAAAAGTCACATGAATATAAATGCAATGCTTGATATTCAGCAATACTTTCTATTAAAACAAAAAAAAAAACACACAAAAAAAAAAAACAAGTTCACCGTTGGGAAATTTAGGATTCCCAAGACAGGTGGGCCCGACTCTGAAGCAATGACAGCCCAGCTGTATTTTTAAAGCAGCACCTTTTCAGTCCCGATTCGCTGATTTCACACATCAAGGAGCAAAAAAAAGTTTGCCCGTCAAAAGAAGCAGCTGCGTTTCTTCGGGTTTTATTACAGTTTGGTTGCGGTATTTCAATGGCAGCTCCCTCATGCAGTTCTGTTCAACTTTGTCCTACAAATGCAAGAAAGATGTCCAATTGAAGCAGATGTCTCATGCTGAGATTGCAAGGCGTGAAAGCAAATCTGGGATGCATTTGCATAATCCTCGGACTAAGCCTTAAGACTGTGCTGATGAAAGAAGAAAGATTGTGGGCGATAAAGTATATGTTCAGTTTGCAAAGTTCAGTTTTTATCAAACATACATTATAATCCATTGCAATATATTAGTTTCTAAACTTGGACTGAGACCAGAGATCAAACGATTGTTCTTCTAACGTGGCAGTATTGTTGTTGTTCCTTGATATCCTCACTGTTCTGGTGATTTTTGGAATAGCAGCAAACTTCTCTCAGAGGACTTGTTACTAGATTTGGAGTGAAAGAAACTCTCCTTGTGAAACCCTGAACCGCCCCTGTCCTCCTGATGGAAATGGCGTAACTGTGGTCTTCTGTTTCGTTCTATTCTGTTCATTCTTTTCCTGATTTCGTATAACCTACCTTTTCTAATCATGAATGTATGGTGAGTGGTTTTTTATATAGCATACTAATTTAGGTGTCAAATAGAATCTGTAATTTTGTCAAAAAGATCAGCTATATTTGTAAGCTGTAATATGTAAAAACTGAGAAAAAAATGATAATCAAACAGAATGTGTTGGTTTACTATAGTATATATATATAACTGTATACCGAAAAAGAGAAACTCAAGCTGTTTGCCAAATAAAAGTAGTAGTGATGTTAATATTTGCATTGATGTCTTCACTATTTTAAAACCACTTTTTTATAAATGATTTGTTTATCCAATCATTTTTGTAATGGTATATTCTTTACACCATATCATTAAATAATTGATCACCTTATGAATCTCGTAGAGAGAAGGTCAAGAATTTCCAAACCAAGTTTCTTTTTATTTTTTTCTTAAGGATCTAAAACATGTTTTGAGTTGCTTCAACAATTTCAGATTTTGCACATATTTTATATACTTTTATTTCACAGTTTTTAAGTCTTCACTGCATATGCACAATGTGAGGATGTGATGAAAACAAGCCTCGGAATGACTGAGGTGTCTCCAAACTTTTGAATGTTAGTGGTCAGGTGTAAAAATGATTTGTAAACCAATTTAGACTTAGACTTATACAACTTTTATTGTCGTTTTGTATACACTCTGTGTATACAAAACAAAATTTTGTTTTGTATAGCTTTCAGACAGTAAATGAGCAGCAGCTTAGCAGTGAAATGAACATTTCCATTTCATAAAGTGCAGCAGTGATCAAATGCAAACGATGTGGGAGAAAAAAACATGGTGCAAAACGCATTGATATGGGAGTTCAGAGCATTGCAAGACAAATATATATATGGTGCAAAAATGCAGTTGAAAAAAATGTTTTTTTTTATTTTTACTTGAGTTCACCAACTCCTGTCTAAAAGCAATTGTAGAAGCAGGAAGGCTTTATAACAGAGTTATTAATGTATTTCCTTCTCCACCCTCTTGTCAATATTTTAAGGATAATTTTTCTTTTTTTAAATGTAAAAAACAATCCACTGGACTTTGTTTTCCAAGTTTGAAGACATTTCGCTTCCCATCCAGGAAGCTTTTTCCATTCAAAATGTCTGGATTAGTGCTGAGTTCCAGACTTTAAAGCATAGCCCAACAAAGCCTTGTTATGGCTTAGAAAACATGCAAATTGAACAATTTTTTTAAAGGTCTTTTGACTTAAATATTAATTTAGTTGTATTTCAAAAAGATCTTTCTCTCCCTTTAGTCTTGCCAAGCTTTGTAGTTCATTACTAAGACTATATGGCCTTTTTCCAATAGCAAACCTGTCTGTAGCAGAGCCTTCCAAAACCATTCACCACCCATGTGGTATCCATGTGCAAAATTCAAAAAATTTATCTCATCCAAACACCTGCAAAAGGGCAGCCCGTCCTCTCTGGGTTAGAGGAGAGTTCCTCCCTCAAGATTAGGGTTTGTTTTTTGTCATTTAACGGCGGGTCTATGTTCCCTACCCTCACCTATGGTCATGTAATCTGGATCATGACCAAACAAACGAGGTCCTGGATACAAGCGGCTGAAATGAGCTTCATCTGCAGGTAGAGGGGCACTTCTGGAGATGCTGCCCCCTCAACCTGGTCCCAGATATACTTTTAAACCTCCATTTTTTTCCCCACCATCCTTTGCCCCACTCCCTTATTCTGCACTCTTCCTTTCAGTTAATCATATGAGAATAAACATGTCTGTTCTGGGTTATGATCTTGCTTAAAAACTGACAACTGCTTTCCATTTTTTGTCCTCTCATCCCAAATAAAAAGTGCTAACTTAAAAAATTTAATTTCCCTCTGAAATCAATAAATTATTTCTGAATTTATTTGAAATCAAAGGAACAGCATAAAACAATGCAGTACCTCATATATTTTTTACAGTAAAACTGACACCACTTAGAGAAGTTTCTCCATATAATTAGCTAGTAATCATTCCCAGCCCCACTGTAGATACAAATCTTTGAGGTGCTGTACATCATAAATGTTATTTCCCATGTGTCTATTAACCAAGATATTGCATTTACAGCATAAAATAAATGTTTTTCACCTCATGTAAAAATAAAGACTGTTAAGAACCAAAAGACAACATATTTTACTCAGTCTTTAAAAGAATTCACAGATTTAAAGTAAAATGTCAGCCTAATTGCAGTTTGTACCCCGGATCTGACCTTTGGGTAAGTGCAATTTACCATGAGGATCTGAGGAGCTGCTTACAGAAAACAGCAGGGTTCAAAACTCATCAAAACTGCACATTAAATAGATTTTAACACATACTTGAAGAACAAAGTTCCCTCAATACATAGAATGACCTCTGCCTCTGAGTTTGTTGAGGAATGGAATCCATTGTTGTTTTTTTTCCATGGTAAGGGATTATTTTTATTTTAGATATATAAAAGTAACATTTTCAAACCAAAAATACAAAATTTCAATTGGAAAAAAAAAACATTTTACTTCAACTCATTGATGTGGAATGCTCACTTCATTCTGTGCAGAAACACGAGTGGCTCTTTGGTTCTTCGGCTCTCTTGATATATTCTAAAAGATAAACTATTGCCCTGTTTTTTGTTCCTGGCTTTTCTGTGGCCCCAGAAAACATGCTGGCCCCATCCTGCCCCCTTGGTAAATATGCCCTAGAACCACCTATGCTAATGGATGCTCTGTTATATTTTTTTTACATTTTACAAAATGGTTTTCTGTGGTTGTTTATCTTAGTTTTAGCCCACCACCACCATGCAGCGCACACAAACTTTTGTTTTTCTATCTATATTAAGACTTTAATTCATTTATGCCTAATCCTGACATTTTACCCAAACCCTCGTTATAGTTGGTGTATTCCCAATATAAACCTCAAGTTATTTAAACCATATCTTTAAACTGACTCCCTAATATTATAAAAGAGGCACACGGCATTGAATAGGTCATTATTTTTAATAGGGAAACATCAGACAGGGAGATGTGACTGTGGGCAAGATGAGACAGTTGAACATGTTACTTTGATTTGTAGGATATATTTGATTCAGAGAAACAAGTTAATTAGGAAACTTAGTAATTACTAAGTTTCATATAATAATAATAATATAAATAATATGAAAATGGAACTTGACATTGTTGATTTACTGCAAAGGGAATCAGGAAGCAGAGGACATCAGGTTATATTTGAGTTTTTGAAACATTAAATTGTATAACAGCATATGTTTTTTTTTTTTTTGTGCTATGTGGTCCTCACTCCTTACCAGTTGGTGGCGGTAATGCTCACCTAACGTTTTTGCCAACCGCCATAAAAATCTAAACAAGAAGAAGAAGAAGCAGCACAGACTTTTTTTATTATTGAAAATAAAGAAAATCAATGACAATCTCAACAATACGTCAATAATGAACATTACAATAAACAGATAAGACCACAACTCCTATGAACTCCAATAAAAAAACAGAGACTAGAACAAGGGAAGAAAAAAAAGAAGCTTTGTCTCCAGGATGGTGTCACAGCCAAGCTGTTCTATGTCATGTCCACAAGGTGTCGCTGTTGCACCGCGCTTGCGCACATGTCAACTAACAATCATAAACTAACTGAACAGAACCCATCATGTGTGACTTGTAATTTAAGATTATCTATTATTCCTCGTGACTGCCTGAAACAGCGGAGAATCATCCGCCTGTGTTTGCTGTTGGGCGGGTCATGACACCCCAGCGGTGGGTGTATCTCCGTAAGCTCCTCTCTGGTTTCCCCTCCTTCCCTCCTTCCTTCAGCAGTTGTCGCCCACGTGTGTTCAGTTCCAGTCAGTCTGCTGCCGACAACATGGCAGAAGAGGCGAAGAAACTAGCAGCCTACTCTGCAGTGGATAACAACGTTCAGGTACAGTTAGCAGCAGCGAGTGCATTAGCTAACCGGCTAACATGTTAGCATCTCTGTTAGCTCATCTAGCAGCATGCTAGCAAAGTTAGCCCCATTCACACATACATGCTGCTCTTTTCATCATTAGCTAACCTGTAAAGCAACTCATAGTTTGCTACCTTGGTTCTGTTTTTGGGTCAAATATACAGCAGGGCGGGCTTTAAGGAGTTTGGTAACAGTAATGGTTTCAATGAGGTTGGGGAGTAACTACATTAACTTGGCTGAATTTTTGAAATAAATTTACTTTTATGAGTATTTCCATACTTTTTCTGTAGTAATATACTAGTGAGAATATGACTAATTTTGAGTAACCTAAGCTTTCAGTTGAAAATCCAGTAAACAGCATTTAATGAAGCTAAAGTTTTTTTTTATCCTTTCGGGACATTTATGCATTACTTTCTGTAAATATTGGTTTACAAAAATGTAGAGAGAGTTTCTTTTGCAGAAACATATTTATTACTCCTATTTAGTTGTATATTGTAATCCTTTTTATATTTTGAAATACAATAATTAGCTCATAACTGTGATAAAATAATTAACTTTCCACCAGATGTTTGGAGTTGTTAACCACTCAGTTCTTTAGTATCTATTTAGCATAAAAACTGTTTTACTCTTGAGCAACTTCTTGGATGATTATTTTCCAATTCTACTTTAGTAAAAAATGTGTAAATTTAGAGCTACTCTTATTCCCTTACTCTACCCATAATTGCTTGCTGTTGTGCATTTGGTCCAGCATGCAACTATAAATTAAAAATATAACTTTTCCTGCTGCTGCAAAAGCATCCACACCTTTTGGATGAAGCTCTCTGAAAACATGTTTGCACCACCATGTTTCACAAGTGGATGTGTGGTAAGATGTTCAGTAATGAAGTTGGTCTTCAACCACAAACTGTTGTAATTCTGACTGGTTAGGAGGATGGAAATGTCTTGGTCTGCATCAGCCATGTTTTCCATGTGATGGACTGAACAATAATCTGAGGTGTAAGGAGCATGTTCACAGATTACCCTGACATCTCTGCTGTGTTTATTGGTCTTCATCTCTGAAGGGAAATTTGCTCCATTTTGTTGCAAGCAAAAAAAAAAATGAGAGTAACTTTTAACTTTCCTTTTTTTAATTATATACTTCAAAGATATGTTTGTTTATTTAATGAAAAAACTTTTTTGCAGAATTTATATTGAGTTTTTTTTTTTTTCAAACATCTGTTTCCAGATTGAGTTTAACTAATTGAATTCTTTTCAAATATTCAGTTGCATTCCCTTCACTTAAAGCCAAATACAAACGCTCACTCTGACACACGGTGTTGTTGCAAACGTCCATTCAGACCAGTAGAAATGTGTCTTTGCTCCTCAGTCCAGAGAAAATCCTCCTCTAGGAGTGAAGATGATGTGATCCATAAAACACATTTGGAGAAAAAAGCGGTTTGTAAAACTCAAATTGAAAGAAAACTGACAGTATAAAATCTGTTAATTATTATTATTATTTATTTTATTTTATTTTTTGAAGAAAAAAAAATAAGTTGGAAAAACTGAAACGTAAAAAAAAAAAGGTGAAAACATTACATTTCTGAAAAGATAAAGGATGAAAGATAAAGTTGGGAAAAAAAATGGAAAACTAAGTCTGGAAAACAAAGCATTTACACAATAATTTCATGTGTGCATTGAATTTTTTTTTTTTTAAAGTTCAACATAATGTGGATTTTTTTTTCTTTTCAAATTGCTGTTAACAGAAGGTCTTCTTTGCTTGTAATAATAATAGAACTTGATTCCCTCTATGTTCACGATGCAGATGTTTGCTCTGTAAAGTTCTTCACATTAACCCTGAGAATAGATTATTTACAGGCGGGCTATGTGAAGCCTTAAGGAACTTCTAAATCCGTTTTATTTTATTCTTTTAGAGGTATTTTATTTAGATGGATGAACACCAATGTGTGTCACACTTCAGATTTTATTTGTAGGCTGGTTTTTGGGACAAAATCCAGAAATAATAAAGGTGCATGAACATTTTTATAAGGCAGCATGAGTACAATTATACAATACAAAGATAATTTAACATGCATGTCGACATTAAATGTTCAACATGTGGCATATTTAAATTGGTTCTCTTGTTTCCAGAACAATCATGTGGTTGGAGTGGGCAGCGGGTCAACCGTTGTGTACGCTGTGGACAGGTTAGGTGAGTAAAATGCTTTAAGGCTTTAATAACTGCCTGATATTGTGTCTATCAGGGTGAATTAACGTTTAAAGTTGTATCTGGATGATAGTTTGACAGGAAGGCAGGAGCCACACGGCTCCATCTGCTTTGGTTTCACTGTAGAAGTGACTCTAACATCATCATTCCTAGTAGACTGCATAGAACTGATAGTGATGATTACTTCAGATTAGAAACTGTCTGTTTGGCACATTCCTTCTTGTTTACTACAACGAGTGGTTGATTAATAGGGAAGAGGAGCAGCTTAGTTACTTTTTTATTTCTTAGTCTCTTTAATTATATCTTTTCCTTTTTTTGTGTGCATTATTTGATACAGCCGAGAGAGTTCGCCAGGAAAAACTGAACATCGTGTGTGTGCCCACCTCCTTCCAGGTGAGTTAAATCACTCAGGTCTCTCTGCTTTCTCCACTATTACTAGGTCAGAGTACTGTTGCTTCTTTGTGATTGTCCTTTTGTGGTTGAGTCCTTATTTCTCTTTAACTCTAGCGTTCAACCTGAAGATGTTTTATCGTTATCTCCCTTTTATCTCCTCTTTCTTTCATCTTTTCTCGTTTTCCTTTCCTGTTCTACTTACATTGCAGTGTCCATATAATCTGTAAAACTCCCTGCATATTCTAATAAAGCTATTTATATGCATAAATCAATCGGAGCACTATGGCAATAGCCGTACTGCTCCACTTATGAAAGTAAAGCATCTGTTGGGCTCTTTTTTTGGCATCATGACAATTATTCTCATTGCAACATCGCCAGACAGGACAATGTTAAAAAAAAAAAAAAACTAGCTTTCAACCTAAAGTGCTGGATAAACTATAGCTAGATCAATCAGACTCCTGTTGCTGATTTCTTGTTTCTGTAAAGTTGATCTATGTACAAAATTACAGAGAAAGATTTAAGCCCATGATTTTGAATCTGTTAGGTTTTCTGCCTTCATACTGTTGAATCGAATTGATTATTATCCATATCAGGCCTTTTTTCATATCTCTCATGAGCCTTTTATATAACAAAATGTTGCTTTTATTTTTTTAGAGGAGAGATATTTCCACTCATCTGATGTGCTAGTTTGACAAAAACTATTATTGGGCAAAATCTGCTTTTCTAAATGCTCATTGCAGCGGTCAGTGCAACAGAACGATAAAATCCTAACAGGTGAGACTTGGTTTTAATTTTGAACACAGATGAGAGCTTATTATAGGTAGCTAGTGTAGACTGACAGCCCTGATTTGTAGTGAATTAATGCATCCTAGTGGTGGGTTTGGGTAGTGCACCCATGTTGCAAATGCAGGTCCGTCAGGGTCACTATACGTCTCCATGGACCTCTCCTCAGAGGCTGTGTTATAAAGCATGAGGAGTTCATTTCTCTGGAGCTAAGGGGGAGGAGCCTGACGAACGGCTTACTGCCTCTGCATCAAACCTTAGACATGATCCATCAGTCATGTTGGTTTTGTTTCTATGCTAGCTTACAAACACTGACTTCTCTTAGATGTCAGACAGAGGGGCAGATTGACTCCTGTGAACAGGCAGAGGCTCTAAGGTTCAGTTTCCACCAATCAGACGCCTTGTAGTGGTCTCTGTGATAGAAAGAAACAGTCCATGAAGCTCTATGAACTGATCTAGAGATGGTCTTAATGTCCACTAAAGTTTAAAAGTCAGCTGTTTATTCAACAGGTTTCTTTCACCTGTTGACTCTGAGCCTCATCATCCACTGACCCCCCCCCCCCCCCCCCCCCCCCCCCCCCCCCCTCTGGGTTATGACCCTGTTCTACCACTCTGTGGCTGAGTTCCAATGTTAAGCAGTGAAGACATTTCCCAATCGGCTTCATAGCTAAGATGGCATCCCATCATGCTGTCAGACTGGAACCGGTTTGGTTACTGAGAGTTAACTGTTCTTTCAGACGTTTTTAGAAGTAGTTGGAACGCTCAGGCGTTAAGTCATCGGTGGCCATCAGTGACTGGAACACATGAATCCATTGATTTGCTTTGGTTCGTGAAGAAAGGCTCAAAACAATTCAGATTGATTATTGAATTATCTAATTGAGTAATCAATTAATCAGTAACTGGAGTGAAGAGACTAAATCACACCATTGGCTGAAATAACGACCCTTTCAAAGACATAATTATGCCAAAAATTAAAAAAAGAAAAAGAAAAGAAAATTGCGACTAAGGTGAAATTTTGTTCATTAATAAACTCTAACCAGAACTCCTAAAGGTCTCTTCGTTTCACCTGAAATAATTTTGCTTTTACTTAGAAACAAACGATGGGCTGATTAATCGATTAGCTTAAGTGAATGTTTGGCAGAAAGCAGAACTCTGAGGTAAACTGGCCCAGATGGTCTGTTAAAAGCATCATGGTGGAACATGAGCAGACGGGAACCTGTTTTAGGTTCTATAGGCACCAGTTATCCAGGTCAGAACTTGTTTCAGCATCTGAGCCTGTTTTACTGTCCATCATGGTTCAATAACATTTTAACTCCAACATATAAACCAGCTGTATCCCTCTGCTAAATGGAACCTCATTAGCATCTCTACTCGTTTTCTTCTGCTTCCTGTAATGATTTTAAGAGTGAGAAAATGTCCTTTCTTGTTTCAATTAACGGCATCTTTTTCACCTGTAACTGCATGTATTTTCTCTGGTGTTCCGCCCATTTCTCCATCTCTGCACTCTCCTCTCGCAGGCCCGACAGCTGATTTTGAAGCATGGCCTCATGCTGTCAGATCTGGAGAGACACCCTGAGGTATGATGAGTGTGTTCGGGGAACGGGTCGCAGCTACAGACCCTGTCTGCTCTTAATTATTCCATAGAAATAACAGCTGGTTGCTTCTGTGCGTACGCCTGATCTGTGCTTTATGTCCACACCGCTCAGCTGGACGTGGCGATTGACGGCGCAGATGAAGTAGACTCAGAGCTGACGCTGATAAAAGGTGGTGGGTGAGTAGGTTTTAACGCAGGCGGATCGGTTTAAGCCAGCTGGTGATCCTGACTCGTTCTCTCTGTTCTGTAGCGGCTGTCTTACCCAGGAGAAGATTGTCGCCGGCTGCTCTAAATTTTTCGTGGTCATCGCTGACTACAGGTCTGCATTAGCTGTCAACAGGAGTTTGAATTTGCTAGTTTTATAAAGAAATTACTTTGACTTACAGAAAAGATTGTTTGTCTCTCAGAAAGGACTCTGATGCTCTCGGTCAGCAGTGGAAGAAAGGCGTTCCCATCGAGGTCATTCCCATGGCGTATGTCCCCGTCTCCAGGACGATAGCCAAACACTTTGGAGGGGAAGTTAGTTTAAGAATGGCAGTCAGTAAAGCAGTGAGTACGAACCATCTTTGACTTTATAGCTGATTTCTAGATTGAAGTCGTCTGTTCTTTTTGTTTTTTCTTTCCAGATTTCTAGGGATGTCTTTATTAATGAAACTAAACCCCCCCCCTTACTCGTGTACTGCATTCTGTGTGTCGATAGAAAATATAAAATACAAAGTGGCATTATACGACTTCTCAAACTCGTACGTCAGTTGCTACCTTTACATGGACACAAATAATCTGATTAAAGACCCGATCAAAATGTTTTAATATAAACATGTCAGACTGAAGATTTGAATCTGATTCGGTCTGATCAGAAATATATTTCGGAAAGATATATGGCTCTAAATGTAATGAACGGATGATCCTACCCTGTAGCAAAGGAGCTTCAGCATGAGGCAACGCTTCACTAAAATTACCATGAAAAAACAAAGGGATGAAACACACTTGTACATGGTACGTGTACACACATCATAATCGGATAATTTTATCTAGAGTCCATTTAAAAAGGGATTTTTAACTTCCAACCAACCAAGTTTCTGATCGGATCTGAGAAGTTTTGGACATATAAACGTAGCTAGTAGCTTACTTTGGTTGCATACAGGGTTTTTCAGAAATATCACAGCGTCTTACTTATATATTTTGGTCAATTTCTTAGTAAATGGATCCATTCTGTGTACATTTACTATAACAACCTGAGGCAGGAGTTACAAAGTTGTACATGATTGGTAAACAAGTCGAAGCTAGTGAGGGGAGCAAGTGAGGAACTCTCACTTATTAAAGCATAGCCCAAGGCTCGATCGGAAAACCTCAAATCAGAAAAGACTGCAGCATGGTCACCATGATGATGTTAGTCACCATGGTCACCATAATAAGTGCAGTCTGAATACTGCTTGCAAGAAGGAGCTAGGAAGAGGAAGCATGTTCCTTCTTAGCATCTATTCATTTAGCATAGGGCACAGCCAACTGAGTGTAAAAACAATACATTACTTCGTTATGGTGTCTTTTTACAAACCGCACGGGGAAGGGCTGTGAAGCAGCCAGCAGTGAATCCTACACAATGAGAGCGTTCACGACTCCGTCCTCACCTCGCGCTACTTGATAGAGCTGAGGTGTTGTCAAACAGCAGCACCGCAGAGAGAGCGGAGCGGTGATCGCTGAAGATGAAACGAGCTAAACTTTTCTATGAAATCGCGGCACGGCAGCCAATCAGGGACAGAATGGAGGTGAGGCTTTTTTCACTTAAAACAGAAGAGAGAGAAAATAGAAAAACGGGGAAAATAATGTTAAAAAGGTAGAAATAAGCAATTCTCTTGAGGTTTAAAAAAAAAAAAAGAAGCCGTTTTAATTAAGTCATAGAGGGATTGTTAATCGTGATCGCTTAGAGCCAGCACAGAGCCTGGTCTGTCACTGCCTACTGCCCAGTATCACTGCTTACTGCTCGGCTAGATTTACAAGGAAGTCCCACCAAATCCGAACGATTAGAGCTGCGTCTGGATGAACCAACATGATTAAAAAGCTGGTAATAGAGAACAATTTAGCATTAGTCCGTGATGTTAAGTTTCACCTGTGTTTCTATTGTAAAATGCCGACAGCAAGACCTTGACAAGAAATGCTATGGGGTTGCCAGGGGTAACAGCAGGTCCACAGCAAAGGGTCTGGGAGGCTGGTGATTTACTAAATATTAAACAATCATTCCAGCCACTAAATAAGGTAAACATGCCCACTGTTATATTCAACACCAGCACAGGAATGATGTGATGTTATGCAATAACTTTATATCAGGAAACGAGCGCAGCGCTTACGTCTGGGGATGGTGATAAAATGCTTTTACTTAAAACAAAACTTTTCTGCAATGTTGGTGCAGAAGCCAGCTCCTGTACCTTTTTTATGATTTGATAGAATAACAAAAATAGTTCAACATAACCAGGAGACTGATTTTCTCCAAATGTCCATGGAACCATAGAAACTGATTTGGGAAGCAAACAGGAAACTCAGGCAGCTGTTTCTGTTCCTTCTGTTTTAAATCAACTTGTTGGTTTTTCTGTTTGTAATATTTCTGTTTTTTTTTTTGTTGGATCATGTGGATCTAAATGTTGTCCTGCTTATAAACCGAAGGGTTTGCTTTAGGGCTGAAACATTTAATTGGATTTATTGATTATTAAAATAACTGTCAACTAATTTAGTACTTGGTTAAATGTTAGAGTATACAGACTCTGACACATACTATTAGCTGAAGGAGCGACTTATTCAGAGCAGTAATTTACTAATGTTCTAAACACTGTAAATTAGTATAATCTATCCAGAACTACTCAGGTGTTTTTTGTTAGCTTCACTTGATTTAAATGAGTTAGAAATCCTCTTTAATTAAACTTTTGCTGTTTGACTATTAATCATAAAAAGAAATCAATTGATTATTAAAGCAATGGTAGGTTCAGCCCTACTTTACCTTTGAATATTTGAACATTTAAATCGTGGCGTTTCAGCTGCTCTGTTCTGGGACAGCTGTGCTTCTTGTGGCACCGCTGTGGCTGAGCGCTGACACACCCAGCGACCTCAGGAAGGCAATTTAGTTCCACGTAACGACTCTTAAGAGTAGATTCTCTTTATAAACTGCAGCAGACTGAACTGTTTCCTTTACCTAGATGTCTAGTTACCTCATTTGTAACCTCACCCCTCCTACTGAAAGCCTCCAGAACCAACAGAGTGGTGTCTTTGTGGCTGTAGGGTCCTGTCGTCACTGATAACAGCAACTTTATTTTGGACTGGAAGTTTGAGCATACCCATAACTGGAAGGAGGTCAACACTGCAATCAAGATGATTCCTGGTGAGGAGATAGCTTCACGAATTTGTGAATCACCATTCTGAAAGAAAAAAAGAAATGCTTCACACACAGAATAAATGTAAAATATGTTTTTGAAGGCATAAGATGCTCTGTGTGTGTATATAGGTGTGGTGGAGACGGGGCTCTTTGTCAACATGGCTCAGCAAGCGTACTTTGGGATGGAAGATGGCAGCGTGAAAGTTCGGAAGGCTCCCGTCAACTGATGAGTCCCCTCGCTCGATCCTCCTTTCACTGATAAAATTTCAGCCACAAGTGCCAGGATCACAACCCAACCCCTGACTCTGGAAAAGGCTAAAGGCAGACTGCTTTCCTTGCAAAAGAAGTTTCCAAACTTGGTACATTCAGATGGGTGGTGCCTCTGATCTTTTTATTTTCTAAGTGCCTGATGAGGAAAATCCTACACCTGCAGATCAGATGTAGTTATTGACAGAATAGCTGCAGAAATTTACAGAATAAATAAAGATGTGCCTTTTGAAATATTAAATCAGAAACCCATAAATGCATGTTTAATTAGTGTGTAACACTAATTATAAGTACAAAAAAGAACTGCTGTTCAGATTTTAAGAAGAGTCTAAGATCTTGAACTAATGCAACTAAATAAAAACTTCAGGATAGTGATGATTTTTCATCGAACACTGGTTAGATCAGAATATAAATCTGAGCATAACATTTAAGTTTGTCAATGTGCAAGAATTTAAAGGGTGATTGTTTGTTCCTCGTTTTTACAAATTCTTCTAGTAGACTGCAGGATGCATGCAAACCTCTAACCAGAATATCATTCTGTAATGGAATATGTGCATTTTTGTGCCTGTCATATATAAATTATATATATATATATATACACACACAATTTTCTGCAAACAGAAGGTGTCTGGATGCAGGAAATCTTGTGCCATAAGCTCATTTCTAAAACAAAGCCCAGTGATGGCAGTGGCTAATGATAACACGCCACCATATTTACTCTATTGAAAGTTGCACCTTTGTTATAATAATAAAAATAAACTTTCTGAACTGAAAAGGCATCTTCTAAAAACAGAATGGGTCACACTGTGCATGACTGTCTTTGCACCAGCATATTTTCCTTTCTAGCCATTTTACTGTGAATAGGTCTGTTATTTTTTTATGTAGTTACAGTATTGAACCCATAAAGGACCAAATTATTACTCATGTTTGTTTTATTAGAGTTGCATATTGCAGAACATAGCATGTGCTCCAATACTGAAGAAAATAAAAGTTGTAAAAAAGAAAAAATTGTGTTCCAGGGGTGTTTTTTTTTTCTTTTATGCAGATTTGCTGATTATTTTTTCTTTTTTTCCTGGGTTTGAAATAAACAATGATAAAACCATTTAAATTGCTGAGGCATTTATTGCCTTTTTTTAACATTTGTTTTTGTATCAGCCTAAATAATTATGTAATACTTTCTACATCTTTGGGTTAATAAAACCTTCCAGATTACATGAATCCGGTTATTAAAATCAATTTCGGAAAAGTTTTTTGTTTTGTTTTTTGACTTAAGAAAATGAGATTTGTCTGGATTATTATTTACATCAAATGGGATTTTAAAAATCAATGCATGACCAATAAAGTCTGGCTAGCAGCTTTAGAATAAATACCCCGCTGTGAACAGGAGGGGGCGCTAGAAAAATATGAACTCTTGTTAAGTAGTCAGTTTATTACAGCACAATTTTAGATATACAGTAACTTCACAAAGTCACTCGAAGAGCTGAGAGCATTCCTGAGACATTGATTAAGGGACGGTGGAGAAGTGCAGGTTTTATTTTACTGCGCTCTGATGATGTACAGTGAGAAAGAACTCGTGACCAGGAACAGGAACTGTACCGCTTTAGCTTGAAGCCACGTTGAAGAATACATGTTGACCAGTCTTGACAACCGGTATGATTGACTTCTGAGTTAACCAATCCAGCGCAGGCTTTACGTCTGAATCAACCAATAGCATCTCGGCATCACTATTCGACAGAACAGCAAACAGCTGACCGACCCTTGCGTCAGCTCAACGTCTACGTGACAGACAGCGAAGCCAGCCAATAGCGGCCACTGTTTGGGGGGCTGGTACGCAACGAGCCTGCCTCTTTGATTGACATATCGCTGCTCCAATCAGATTCTGCTTAGTGTGCGAGGATGCGTGACTGTCAGAAACGTGTGCAATGAGAGAATGATGAAATAAATGAGAAGATTAAAGCGAATTTCATTATCCAATCCTAGTTTAGAAACGAGGCGGGATTTAAGGTAACTAAGGCAAGTCCGGGCTAGTATAAAGCGAATAACATGGTGTCCCAGAGGCTGTTTATGTTTACTTAAAGAGCACATCCAAGTGGAGCATATTTCCAGACAGCGATTTATATATATATTAATATAGTTTCAGTTTGTTTTTTTACACTTTGTTTATTTTAATGTTCCGATTTACCTGCTTAGTGGCATGTAAATCTCCTACTTTACTAATGTGCCAGTCTTACAAATGGAAAGAGGGCTTCACTTTGGAAGCGTGAGCATTTCCCTGGTGCTCCTGCTGCTGCTGGAGGCACTCATCGTTCCCGGGTTTACCCAGACTCAGGGCTCCGCCATCGGTCTGGAGCCGCGCTCCGAAAGCCGAGGGTCGACGGCGACCTCGGGGCTACAGGAAGCCGCGGAGGTGCGCGGCTTGGAGAACCCGGGCAGCCAGGTGTCTGGAGCGGACGTTATCGTGGAGGACGACGAGAACTGGTCGGCAGGAGAGGCCGACGAACCCCGGGGAGAACCGGACGGAAATGTTCGACCTACAAGGTGAGATAAACACCCGACACCCATTATCGGACACTGGAAACATATGCGACTTGGAATATGACACGTAGCCTTTTCATGTTTACACCAAAAAAATCAACTTAAAATGTTCATTTATTAAAAAAAAAGTATTATTGTTTGATATTGCTGGGATATTAGTCGACCTTTATGCTAAACATAAGTAACTGTTTTCGTATCTGTAACTTCCTTTTAAATCACAGTTTCACTTTATAATCCTGTCAATTTTAAAAAAGTAACTGCTAAATGACTAAATATTAATAAACTATATTTACAAAATGTCTATAAACTGTCAGAGATGAACAACATGTGTCCGATAATAGGCTCAGGTGATATGGAGCTAAAATAGCCCCAAATATAACTCTATATCCGGTTTTTATTCCTTATACATGAGCATGTTATAACAGATGGGTTGTTTTGGGTTTTTTAAGTGTTTCATATCAGGGCAACACACGCTGCATACTTTCCTCCACGAACTTGAAACGGAAAGTTGTTCCTGCTGGCTGCATGTTTGCAGCTGAAAGTGTGTCTATGGACTGCCAACATTGCCATTAGCAAATAAACCATCATTTATTCCTCTACATACATGTCAGTGGAAAAATAAATACATACATTAGGTCATTATGTCGAATTAATAACATTAATAAATAAATGCAAACTGTACTTGATATAAATTTGAGGTCAATCCATTAAATACATCCTTTACATGTAGTTAAGATATAGACTTTATCTAAAATTGGTCTAAAGAAGGAGCCAAAAGGAGAAAAAGGTTCATTTAAGCTTCAATTTCTGTATTCCCACCATTAAACTCAAGAAGTGACAGTTTCAATAACATATTAAGCTCATCAGAGTTATAGAAATGTGGCATTATTATTACTTTGCTTATACTTTAAAAGTTTTTCTCTGAAATAAGCCCATCCCTAAGTTTTCCCTTTTTTATTCCTACCATAACTCACTGTTGTCAAGTGAGGAGGAAACCTTCCTCCTCACTTGACAACAGACCCAACATCCTTTTCATGCAGCGCTGTCAATAGTTTCCTGTCAGCTGCTTATAGGTGAGGAAGAGTCTGTTTGTGGTATGAATAACAGTTCATCTGGACTTTTGCAGAAAGTACTGACTGCTGCAGAGCTTAGGGTTTGCAGCTCAGATAAAAAGGACCGCATTAAAGCTGTTTGCAACAATCCGTCAGGATAGAAACTTCTTTGGCTGTTAGAAGCACTTCTTACTGCCTCACCTGTGAAGATCTCCATGAAGCTGTGAATGTAGAGTTGTCTGTTTTAAGTCAGACCACAGCTGCTGCCGTCTGGGTGCAGCATCGATTCAGGCTTCCTTGGTAAACAGAAGGTTCAACGCCCACTGTAGGGGTTTGGTGCAGTGTGTTCATTCTTATTATGGTATTTATTTATTTTCTACAAACCACTGCAGTTATGTTAGGCTGGGGTATAACCTCATGGTTATCAACGGGGCTCTGTTTGGGGGGCTGGAAATGTAAAACGTCCCACATTAAATTATTCTCTGTAATATTCTGTTAATCTTTCATTGTGGAGTTGGCCTGAAGTTATCAAAGAGGAACGCTTTATGGAGAGCTGATAGAGCCTTTTGAAGATTTCCAGCGCAGTTTCTGACCATAATTTCTGCATTAATTAGAGCTGGATCCAGCTTGGTGGTAAAATCCACAGCTTGCTGGTTGTGTCTCTTTGAGTGGTTGCTAGTTCATATTTTATATTACAGTCCTTTTACCAAAGTTGGTCTGACTTTTTATTTATCTTGAAACTCTTTTTAAAGCCAGGCTAGACTCATCAGAAATTCCCAGTTTATTAAAACCTTCAGTAAAATGTTCCAGTAGCAATAATAACATTAATATATCTATTAAAAAAATGTTTTTGAGGGCTGCACCTATTGATTAATTTACTAATTGATTCATCTGTTAGTAACGTTTGATCGATCTGAAAGGATTCTTTTAGCAAATTAACATTTTGTATGTTAACAAAATGTTGGAATATATATATAAAAAGAACTTTATTGCCCAATTTAAATTAATAGCAAACCTGCATGTAAAGAAACAATATTTGATGGAGAAATTTTTGGTATTTCATGTAGGGCTTTAATTAATCAAGTAATTAATCAAGTTTATCGATGTAAAGCCTAGATTTGTTTCAGTTATTGGTTTGAAACTACAATGAATTGAATGATGAAGTTATGTGGTTTTTTGGTGAACTTTAAAAGAGCTTTAACATGTGAAATGATAACATCTTACGCTCTTATGTAGATTTAAATAGGCATCGATATCCTGGTAGGTTGTAAGGTATAAAAACAGGGTAGATGAGAATAAGGTTTGCTTTTGCTTATTTCTTTCTTGGTAAATTGGGGGTTTGTTTATTGTTGTTTTTGTTTTGTTGTTGTTGTTTCCCATGTTTAATGTGGACAATTTACCAAAATAATGTGACTGATTGATTCATTGAATGAGTAATTGATTGGGATTTCATTTTTGTGTTCCTGAAATTTAATTTGTCGAAAATCTGGAATTTTTTTTTTTTTTTTCCAATCAATTTCTTTGGCTTCTGTAGCTCAGAGTGAAATCAGTTCATCACTTTCTCTTCTTCTGTCTCCAGATAACTGATAAACTAGCTCACTATGTGATGCCACCAACTGCAAGCATTTAGTGTTTCATATTTTCATTACTGTGAAACAGGATTATTTAACAAGCACGTTTCACTGCTTGGATTTCATTGCCCTTTAAATCATGGTCACCTGCCGGGGGGGAAGATTAAAATCAAAGCTAATTTTTCTAAGAAAGATGTTTTTGTAGTTTTTATTGTGAAACTTAAGTGAAAAAAAATAATGAGGGCGGGAAACATATGCCCAGCCCTAATTCCATGTTAGAACAATTATTTTATGTCTTTTTTTTCTCCATGTTGGAGCTGATGATTAATATCTTCCCTTAATATAAGAACTATCAGAATGAGCCAGAGACGTTGCCCGGATCCACCTGCAGCTGTGGTTAGACGGCGCAGCAACGAGGTGTTTTATTGGGTAGAAAAAACAAACACTTTGACCATCGTTTAGTTCAGCTTGACAGATCAGCTGTTTGGGAATCCCTCTGAGCCTGGTCAGCGGTAACGCTGGTTTTCAGCTGCCTGCAAGCACTCAGGGTTGATGAAGGAGCCTGAAGGGCGAGGGATTCGGGTTTTCACTGCGCTTTTCTCACATATATCTGCAAATAAGGGGGTAAATGTGTATAAAAATGCAGTTTTCACTGCAACTATGCTAATTAAAGGTCAGAGTATCCACCTCTTTTCAGTGTAATTTTGATGTAACCAACATGTATTGAAACACGCTGGGCAGAGCTCCTGTGGAGGGATTCCAGATGTTAGTCAGAGGGCCAAAGAATTTCCTTTGAGTTTAGCAGCCCCCTACGCTGAAATACGATTCGATTATCAAAACATAGCCATCGAT